CCGGACCGACCCGAAGGAAGATACCGAGCCCAAGAAAACAGAACCAGACAACACCGAGAAAATGAGAAACGCCAGAGCAAATCCGCAGGAAGATTCACCGCAGACGGGCAAAAAGCTGTAGCCAGAGCTGGAACAAGCGTCGAAGCTGAAGTCTAGGCAAGAAGACACCAGCATCGTGCGTGTCGTGCCTTTCCCCAAGGTCAAGCCAGTCAAAATGGCCGGAAAGTACATCTTGATCTTGGAAGTTTCACGGTACGAACTTCTGCGTGCCATGAAAAACTTGATGCACCAGTGTTACGTATAGCTGTTTTCTTTTGTGTTGTGTCTGTTTCTTCTTTATATGGTTTCTTTCATGTGTCATTTATTAAGTACTTAATAGGAGGATGGCCAAACATTTGCATGATAAGTCAGTCAAGAACATTCTTGGGATAGCCATAACGAGGACGTTAAGCATTGCAGGATGGCCGAAGTTGGAAATGCACGTGCCCTTTTGTAGACAGTGAAAGAGGACGACGATGTTCGGAGAGATGCGCATGAAATTATGGCCTGTGTGGTGTTTTCGTAGCCTGTGTGGTTTGTGTTTACAGAGAGCTAAGTGAATCCTTCCCTTTCTACAACGTTTAGGGTGCTTCCAACTTCTTCAAAACACACTTCTTCAAAACACTGACTGAATTAAACTTTCAGTTCGATTATTTTTTTTTTTCTTTCTTCCACGAGGCATGTTCGCGAATAGGCGGTGTGATCTCTTTTGCAGTTCGCACAATGGGCAGCAGAGCTGCAACTGTCGGAAACATGTTCTTTGGATGCACATTTAGCGCAAATGGCACAACTTCTGCAGCTCTGCGACCTATGTTTAAAGCACTGACATTTGAAGCAACGACTAGGATTTGGTATTTATGGTCCCACATGAAATTTGCAATAGCCGGTATCGATCGGTTCACGGAGGTTGCTTGTTCTAAATGTTAAAATGTGCTTAGTTGGGATTTGTTTGTCCTCTCATCTTAAGATTCTTTATACTATGACGTTTTTGTCCAGCCATCCTTAAAGTAGTTCTTTCACTGAATTCAAGGAGGTCATCATCAGAGAAGTGACGCACAGTATTCACGGATATACATGGGCCCCCTGAGACCGTGATTTTCCCAAAAGCTTAAAGTTTAGACAGTCTCTCATACTGGTCCTTTTCACAAACTTCCAAAAAAAGATCGCCACTTCCCGTCTTTGTTACTTTGTTACCTGGACCGACTGCTTCCGTGAGGAATTTTGACACGAGGAATGGTGAGAGTTTGGACTGTTTTTGTTTGATGTTAGCTGTGTATTACATGGTATTTAGGAAATGACTCTTTGGTGAAGGGAATAAGTTCTCTTTGGTGCACCACCTGTTCGGGCGGCGACCAGTGAGTGAAAGAAAGGGGTTTGCCATGATACGGACTAGAGTTGGCGGCCACCCACCACTGTGCCCAACAATGGGATGCTCCAAGGTAGATCGCCTAAGAGGAGAAGCTCATCAAAAAAACTTTTTTTTTTTATTTCTAGTCATAGACACTTGAAAATTTTGTTATTAATATAGTTTTTCATGGAGATACAAATATGCAATCATTTTTTGTGTAGCTGCTATAGTTATTGATTGATTTGATTTGTGGGTTGATTGATTTGAATCTGCTATCGCGATGCAATTAATGAATTGCATCGCGATAGCAGATTAGCGTAAACGTTTGCAGGAGTAACTACAAATGATGACGTTTGCAGCCTCATAAGGAAGTAAACTTTGCAACCTGATTGATTTGATTGATATGGGGGGTTTAACGTCCCAAAACCACTATATGATTATGAGAGACGCCGTAGTGGAGGGCTCCGGAAATTTCGACCACCTGGGGTTCTTTAACGTGCACCCAAATCTGAGCTGCTATAGTTATTGAGTTACGACATGCACAATAGCAAAAAGTTGCATGTTTTGCGGGTTCTCTTTCAAATACTCAACTTTCAGTAAAAGCATTGTCTCTCATCTTATTTGACTCTAGGTAGATTGTAAAGTGCAAATATCCATCCAGATATGTCACAAAATATTAGAACCAAGGAAAAAAAATTGCATTGAATGACCAATTATTTTCAATCTCCCTTGAAACAATAGCCTAATATTTTCACAACGTATTCTGGTAGGCATTGCAATTTCAAGTAGATATTTGCATTCTGCATGAGTTGAAGAATATGCGTCTCAAGTTTCGTTACTATACAATAGGTATAAGTGTCTAAAAAATGCCGGAAAATGTGAAATCGCCAGAAAAAATGAAAATGAGAAAAACAAGTTTGAAAGCTTGGAAAGTTTGCATTTATTAGGAAACCATTTTTTTTTTCATCAGATTGGGGCACAATTAAAAGCATCTTGCACTGAATGCTCGGAAGAATGAGAATCGCATAGAATTGTGAAAGTTGGTCATGGCCTGCGCCTATAGCGCGTGCTGCCAGAACTGCCTTCAACGTTTACAGCAAAGCTATCACGCGAGCAGCCGCTGTCGAAACGAGCGCTCGTCCCTTGGTCCCCGGCCGAAGTAGTACGTCTCGACGTGTGCGTGAATGAAAGTGTAGATTCAGGGTAATCGGTATTTTCACAGCACAGTTCGAGGAATGCCGAAAGCCCTTTGCAATTTCCAGCTGCCTCGGATGCCGAGTTCCCATTCGCGGCAGGTTGGGCGTTGCACACCCGCCACAAAGGCAGTCAGCGCATCGATTTCGCAAAGCAGCGTGTTGGCAGTAGCAGCACCTACTGATCTACGTTCACTGTCGAAGAATGCGTTCTTCATTTGAGATGCACTGACGAATTCCACGGTAGCGACTATTTCACAACCACTGTCGCCGCGGGGTTCGGTGTCAGTTAGGCCTATCCCAAGTTGGGGCGTTGGTTGGCGGTGACATTGGCATTCGCTGTCCCTTTGGGAAGCGTCCAACGCCGTTTCCCCCGATACTTGGGGTGAGTTCTGAACTTTCGATTATCTAGACTGCGCTTGTCGGGGCCTGCCATAAGGCAAAACTGCAGAAAAACACCGAACAACCCGATTGCGAAGTCTGAGGCTTTGCTCTTTCGGAAAGATAGAAGAGGGAGGAGGCCGAGCGCACCTCCGACCAATGGCGGCCTCGCGCTGCTTGCCGCGATATTCAAAACACGTAATGTATGCATTGTTTTTCTTATTTTTGGTTCATTCTTCGTGAAGACACGAGACTGGCTACTAGTGAATTGTGAAGAGGAGGGCCTTCGCAGCATGCGTGCACGATTGCAAATGGCGGCCAACGCGTCGTTTTCGCGACAGCACAACGCGAATTATGCCATTTTTGGCGACTTTCGTGCATTTCTCACGTTACCGTTCCCTACTTGGAAGCATTTTCAGATCATTTATCATGCGAATTTCAGCTTAATATTTTCAGAAATAAAATATTGTAGTCCAAGAATGCCAATACAACTGAAAAAAAGAAAAGGTGAAAATTTACCGGAAAAGCGCGACTTTACGACCCACGTCTCCTCTTAAAGACGCTAGCTATGCATCGCCATTATAAACAAATATAGCTACCCAAGGTTGGGCAACGACCCTAGGTTGATCCTTGCCGCCAGGAAAACTAGAAGTGAAAAGAGTAGAAGACGGGAACGATTGAAAGTGAGAAAGAGGAAGAGGAGGAGAGAGAGACAGGAAAAGGCAACTGCCGATTTCCCCTGGGTGGGTCAGCCCAGGGGTGGAGTCTACATGAAGCAAGGGCCAAAGGGGTATGCTGCTTTTGCTGGGAGGCCTTAAATGTCCAATCACTCAGCATTGGCTCAACCCCCAAGATCCCCCTTTCCGTGGTTATGGCTAAGCTACGCATGGCGAGGCATGGGAGGGGGTCGAAATACCCCCCCTTCCCCCAATGGCTTGGGTCTGTGGTATCACCACACACCAGACGCCTGCTTGCGCAGACATCCCTGTGGGGGCATTGGCAGCAGAGCCCCTCAGCCACCAACTCATTGTGGTGGACCTCAAGAGGTCAATGACAGATGACACACTAATGAATGAAAAAGAGGTTAGCTGCTAAAAATGGCAAACATTCACTTTTTTGACCATAGGATGCACGGCAGGAGTGCGGCCTCAATACAATGTCACAAGGCAATAACAACCATAACGAAATCCATGCATGTTCTTTTTTACTGCAAATTGCAGCAAGATCCCAGATTAATGCCTCTGTATCACTTGGGGTCATGTTCCCACAGTTAGCACGCCAAATAGATGACAGCGTTGACAACAAAAGTAATATACTAGCGAGTTTGAGCACTTATTACGCTCATTTATTTTCCCGTGTCTAACTGAGTGTTCATGCAGCACTGGTTCATCATACTGCCACTTTTGTGCCCATATTAAACAGAACAACAGAGAGAATGCTGGTATAGCAATGAATATGCTGTGTGCTCGGGGGCTTGAGCATGTTATGTGCACGTGATCTGGCGTGCGCATGAAATGTCCTTGTGCATCTGTCATGCGATCTTCCAATAGATGCTGAAGAGGGTGGGGAAGAGTTTTGTGGGCAAGAGTTTTGAGCTTGATTTCTCGCATCATGGTTTCGAACCAGTTCAAACTGTTTGTTTTCACAGCCTGTAATGAACCAATTGAAAAAATTTCTGTGGCATAATGCTCTTCATTGGACACACAACAACTTACAGCGTCTAACTAAAACTTGTTATGTGACCAGGTCAAACCTCAACATAACGAAGTCCTGCTTGCAGCTGGAAGCATCATTAAATCATGAATTTGGTACGTTCCCACAGTGCAAAGAGGAATGATAACACCTGTCGTATATCTAGGCAACACAATTGCCTAGAAAGTTTGTCAACACCATGTTGACCCCACCTCTCCATCCACTTTGCTGGCAATTTTGCTTTGCTTAGAAAGGCGGAGGCCTCATTGGAATGTTACAATGTGTCTGCCTTGCTTTTTGCCTGCGCAATCCGAACCAATTAGCAATGTGAGGTAAGAATGCCTTACTTCATCCGGCATGTCTCCACAGTCTTGGATAGTTTCACTGAGCTCCTCTTCTGTTAATGCACGCCACCTGAAAAACAAACATGTTCCCCGCATTCACTAAACCATTATGTGGCAGCAGCAGCACATGTCAAAGAACTTTAGAGGTGTCCTGAACCAACCCTGCGGCTTGTCTTGTTGAAAAAACAGATACAGAGGAGATCAGAGACTGCTGTGAATAGCTTGGCCAAATCTAGCAATTGTGCACGGCAAGAATTTGTGAACTTGCCGCGAATCCGCCACTTTCTCAAGTGCCATCTTTTTTTGTAACAGAAACCCGTTTTCATGTTAGTTTAAGTGACATCACACAACGGAGTTTTCGTCGCACAACATATTGCTGCTATTTGTTGACAGTTGACATAAATCAATAACAGCGTTCAGGCCAGATGTGCTTCTTACCACGAAGCGGTGGCACATCTTTAGTGTGCCAATGCTATACACTGGTGACACTGGTGCACACCAAAAATGCAACGTGAGAAAGCACATAAGGAGAGGCACATGGTGATGGCCGCCATTTTCTGGGATTCTCAAGGTGTTATCTTCGTCAGAGACCTTGAGAAGGGCAAAGCGGTGACAGAACCCTATTACTCGAAACTACTGGGCCGAATTGCAGGGGGGGGGGGGGGGGGGCACATTTGGTGAAGAAAAAGGTGCTCATCCACCATGACAATGCACCAGCTCACACGTGCAACGACCCGACAAACAAATTGGTTGAACTGGGCTAGGAAGTAATGCCCCATCCAGCGTACTTTCCAGATTTGGCCCCCAGTGACATTTTCAAGTCCCAAAACAAGAAAAGTGATTTCTTCTTGTTTACCAAGTTAGAAAAGTCACTTGCTGGACAAATATTTGAGTCGTACGAAGAAGTTATTGCCACCACAGAAGCCTACTTTGCCGCTCAGGAGAAAACATTTTTCTGACGGGATCAAGAAGCTGTCGGATCACTGGGTCAAGTGTATAAAGTTGAAAGGGGACTATGTTCAGAAATAAATCGACAACATTCAAAAATTTTTGTTTTTCTTCTGAAGGCTAAGTACTTGTCAGACTGCCCTCAAAACCGTTATGGCCAGCACCACCTCTGTTTTCGAAAAGTCTGAAAAGAGCAGGTGAGACGCCGATTGAGTTTTCAGTGTTCTCGCACAGGGTAGTGTTGCAAGCGCACTTTCAAGCCTTTATAACGTAAGCCAATTTGAACTGTAAGGCATCTGTGTAACATAGAAAAAAAAAAAAGACCAATTCAGACGAGAACTCAGAATTTAGTGTCACATCATTATCGGAACAGAAGCCATGCATAGCCCAAATTTCAAGCCCACATATGGCTCACCATTCATTACATATAGAACCTAGAATTTACTCGGTTATGCAGAGGTTGGTGTACCACAGTATGAGGCTGGGTCACGCTGTGTGCTTCAGAAAAATTGTTCACACTTGATTTGTAGTTCTTAAGGTTACATAATTTTCTCTCAATAAAAAACATGACTCTACAACACAAACAAAAAATATGCCTTTGTGGCTTCTTTGAAGAAGTCTGAGGAAATGGATGCCTTTGTTTAGTTGACACTTGCAACATGCTGCTCAAACACAAAGAAAGACACACAAAAACCACACATAGACACAACATGAGCGCGAATTAACAATCGTTTATTTGACATAACTTTGACAACATTGTACAATAAACTAGCTCCTACTTTGGTTCTTCCTGTCATGGTGCTTGTAAAGATTTCAGCGTAGCATACACTATCATTATCATGGACTCCCCGTAGAAGGAGCAACGAAGACTGGCACTTTTTACGGCAAATATCAGCTATTTCGGTGAGCTCGTGCAACAGCATGGTGCTAATTAGGCAATATGATTTTCCTTAGCTATTCAGATGACGAGCAAGTGACACCTCAAAAGCGTCCATAGCCAGACAATAATGACTGGATAAAAAGTGACATTTTTCCCCCTATGTTTCAACGTGAAGCCACTATGTGGACATCTGTATGTCTACGAACTACACTGATGTTTACAGCAATGCATAGCCTTTTAACAGTCGTAAAGGTTATTAAAATATATCTCTGTTACTCACCTAAAAACAATGTGCAAGTAACAGAAAACAGTCATCTAAAAATTTTATATTTTTTTTTCTTAAAATAAGTTCGCCAGAAGGATTTAATTTGGCAATAAAAAAAATACACATTTAGGGATGCATTTTGCAAAAAATCGACCCTTTAAGAATTGAAGAATCTTTATCGTGCAATGCTTGTCGGGCACTTCAGAAAGACTCACTTTGGTGTGAGGATCTCCTTGTAGGGCAAACGTTCCACTCGCGTGGCTGAGGCAATGCTGTAGGGGATCACTATGTTGTTGATGTCAAATGCATTTTCACCTCTGCGTTTCCGCAAGACCTCCTGAAGAATAGACCGGTTTTGAGCTCCACCTGGAATAAAAAAGAAAGCATACCGAATGAAGTGGAGAGGCAAGCAAGGATGATGGAAGTGTGTCATATTAGACCCCTGAGTATTCAGCTTTCAACAGTTCAAGTAAACACACGCATCGAATTGAGAAAGCTGTCACTATCAACGATGCCAAATGCGACAGCACTACGAGGTGTACGCTTGCCACATTATTTAAGGGGGGACGTGGCAAGTAAAACTAATTTTTTTATTAATGTACTGTTTGTGATGAAATTTGGTGTGTGTATGTGGATGATTGTGAGGATTCCAAATATGAAAACCGTTTTCAAATACCTCTTGTACTTTTTGAGTTACAAGCATAATTATACTAATTAATGCTCTTCACACTTAAAGAGATAATTATTGCTAAATGAAATTATTTTTTCATATTATTATGTTCCCAAAGCATCAACTTGTGCAAAGAAGCTATTAGTTGATTTTTCTAGTTCTTGTAACCATAAATAAAATTTCCAAAACATGGATGTTGTTTTGCGCACACATTGCAGTAATTATAAAATGTGTTCTAAAAATTTTAAATGATGAGTAAGAAGAGAGATAAAGCTTTATTGCACTGCTAAAGGCCTCCTGAGCCTAGTGCAAAAAACGGAACGACTCTATCAGTCTTTGTTAGAAAATGACAGATGTTCTAGCGAAGGCACATAGGCGAAAATCAAGAGTTGAGAAAACTGACTTTGAAAGTTCACTCTTGTTTGGAAGTTCACAACATGCCTAAAACACTCAGAATCCTCCTGGGCAGTAATCCTGAGATGCTGTGGCCTTGGCCTCCGTAGAGCGCAACCCAGTTTTGCGCTTCTTTGTCGTGGAACAATGCGCCTTTTGAGCCCTCTTTACCCTTTTGGCATCCTTTTCGGCTGCTCGCCGCAAAGAGCAGTCTCCTGTATTGAAGCCCAGTTGAGCAGTGATCTCTTGCAGCGCACTCTTGCAGCCACCATTGAAACGGCAGACTGCATCTGCAACTGCACTTTCCACACTTCGAAGGGACGCGAACTGGCTCTTGGACTGGAGTGACCAAATGAGGCTGTTCATACTCTCCACAGCGTTCTGGGTTTTTCCCTGCGCACACCTTTCAAGGAGCTCTTTGTTCGAGAGGCGCTTGTAGATTGGCAGCAGTGCCACTCGCACGTGAGGGGGCAGTTTATGTTTGTGAGGCGGCAGCGGCTCTCCCTTGGCCAATGCCTGATTGTGCGGGCACCAGGAGTCAGTCCCACTTGGGCACAGGTCGTGGTGTGGATCCTGGTCTGTGGATGTTACATGGTAATAAGTGGCCATGATGGCCCTCTCCATGCCAGGAACATCGTTGGGGTGGCTCTTAATGGCCCAGCCATAATAATTCGTCAACTTCTTTATCAGGCCCTGCGTCAGCCGGCCTTTGCCACCCATGCTCAGTCCTCGGCCTTTGGATTTGTGCTCATCAAGAAGGTTGCGCAAGGAAGTGCCCATTCTTTTTTTTCACATGGTTCACACACTCCTGTTTCTTAATCACCATGTAGCCATACACCTTGTCTTGCGTGAGGGCAAGGTACGTACGGCTGTCACCGTCGCAGAGCACATTGATGTATCGAAGCTTGTACTTGGTAAACGATCTTTCAAACATGATCCTAGCTGCTTCTACTTCCATTTGGCCTGCATTAGCATCGGTGTTCTTTTGGCACTGTGGCTTGTGTTTCTCAAGCCACTCCTCATAGTTGTCGTCACCAGGCTTGGGGCCAACAGCACAGCCTTGGCAGTAGTTGGACAGGACACAGTGGTCCAAGACCAAGCCTGTGTACAGCTCGATTACACAGCCCACGCCAATATGACTTCTGTGCCCCCTCGTCATCCACGTGCCGTCGTAAATGACGTCAATGTTGCCTGGCACTCCTCCTAGGTCCTTGTAAATGTCATGCACCTTCTGTGCACTTTCTGCTTCAATGCGGGTGGCAGCTGATGTGGTGGCAGGGTGGCTGTACTTCCTTTGCAGTCTCTGGTAGGACTTCTGGTGCAGTGCTCGATGCGAAATGTCCATCGCAGAAAAAATGTCATTTATGGCAGATTGTTTTCTGCCAACTGACTGCACAGCCCTCAAAGCACGCACGTTTACCTCAAAGGGGTTCGTTTTTTGTTGCCCGGAGCACCTCGGGGACGACCACGCACTGTTCACTATGCCACAATTGTCACAAAAAAGTCCCATCCTCGCCGCGAGTCCAAGGCAGTGCGTAGTCTCGAGGCGTATCGACCCTTCGTCGCACTTGTTGCACTTTACTGACGAAAGCAGACCGTTCAGCATCTTCTTATTTACAATGAAGAATGTGGAGTCCTTACCGCCGTCATTTTCGTCGCAGCCTTCGTTCAGAAGCTCGAGCTTCCGCTTTGAAGCGGACTTCGATGCTACGGCATCCAAAACATCCCGCCTTGTCTGCGCCCGCTGCGCGATTTCTTCACTGCTCGGAATCTGGGCCGAAACTCGCGATAGAATGTTCGACGCGCGCACGCCCGGAGTTGCAACGGCTGCCGACGCGGTGCCACCGCAATCGGGTTCGCGAGAGCGTCCATCACGGTCGACGGCATCCGGCGGTCTGACATACGACGATGTGGCACCTTCCACACTCTCGGCCTCACAACAATCAGCGAAGGGTCTGAGTAGAGGCTCCGTGACGCTTGAAGAGCATGCTCCGTCCGGAACTGCGACGGCAGCCGCAGTCGTCTGCCCTTTGTTCCAAGCTTTCCGACGCTTGCCGTACTTGTGGACGCTCCGGAACTTTTTTTGCGACAACATAGCACCGCAGTATGAGCAAGCACTCAGAAGAGACCACCGATGTAAACAAAGCTTGGTAAAAAAAGCACGCGAACTATCACAAAAACAGCAAACTGGCAAAAAACGAAGCGCACGCCGGATGATTCTCGACACGGCGGCCGCAGATGCGCTCGCGCTTCCAAGGTTGCCAAGGTGCGCGGCGCAGCTTTGACCAGTAAGAGGTCGCGCCTGCTACCACGTGACCCGCGCAGCCAATTGCCGTTCTTCGTTTTCGTTTTTTTACTTGCTCCTCGCGCTTTTATTTTCACTCGGCGAATTACGAGACCGCGACCATCGGGAAGCCGGCTTTCTCCTCTTTCCAAAGCTACCAAAATGGCGGCCCACAGTCAACAACTTGGCGCGTTTGTGCAGCGTGAACAACACCGTTTCAGGGGCTTTTTTTTCGCACTTTTCGGCGACTAGCCTCGGCAAAAACACTATTTGCGGGATTTGTAGCGCACGTTTCGCTGTAATATTTTAGAACAAGGAAGTTGAAGGTCTGAAGATTACGAAAAAAAATAAATCAGAAAATCGCATATTTTGACCAAAATCGGCACTTTACTTGCCGCGCCCCCCCTTAAAGAAAAAAAAGAGAGAAATAATAAAAAATGAAGAACACTATCACGTGCTTCTCTCTGGGCGTTTTGATATCGTTGGTCGCGATGTGATCGTGCACACCCGGTCAAAAATGCTAATGGTGACACATCGCCGAGGGAAATGGTCACTCGCGACTATGCTTGTGCTTTTACAATCAGTGACCACAGGGCCCGATCGCTCGAGTGAGGACAAACTCCGCTCGCTTTGGCTTCGAGAAGCACGATTCGGCATATTAGACCATGCCCGAACACACTGCACTGCTTTTCGGCCTAGCCTTCGGAAGGGGCAACGAAAGAAGTGTTCTCCATGGGTGCAAGACATCGTTGGCGAACTCGTCTGGGCGAGCTCCAAGAACAAAGGAGCTGAGGGACGGAATAGAAAAGGCGTGCTCATCGTTAACTATCCGGAGGGGCTTTCTCACTCCCTCCGGGGGCACGCACGCGAAAAAGTTTCACGATGCAGCGTCACAGTTGAGATCTGCTACAAGCCGGTGCCAGGTGAGAAAGATGAACAGCACTTCTGCTCTCCCTGCCCGAACAGATCGCAGAGAATGGGAGAGTCATGTTAGGCCACAAGGGTGGCAGAAATAGGCGAAAAAGCTCGCGCAATGGAGACGAGCTAGCTTCAATCCCCACAAGGTGCCGGAGCCAATATCCTCACTGACTGCCGAGGCGTTTATTCATTTAGAAAAAAATATATGTGCAAGTGATGACGAGAGCCACGCAGCAGTGCAGCTGCTAAAAGATGCCTGGTGATGATGGAATATGAGAAAATTCATCAAGCAGTGCATTTATGAAGCGCGAGCACCCAAATAAGATTGTTTTTCACAGACGATAGTCTTCCTTGGGGACCTTCGACGCGAAAGTTGTCTGTCTGTACATTTGTCTGTTTGTCCACTCTTAACGGCACGGGGTACTAGAAATGGCCGATCCCATCCACAGCGCCCACAAATGTTGCTCAAGGATTAACGTTCAAAATTGTGCAATTGTCAATTAATAAGCAATCATTGCGCAAGTCCGCGGCACCATTACAACACGTATATATTCTGCATGTGCATCTTTTACTAGAAAATGCATACATAAGTAGTTTTAAGGACCATAGCGATTATCACGCTGCGCTGACCATCTAACACTTTGCTAAGACGCGATGTTGGTGGCACCTACCTGTCCCCTTGCGTTCCTCACCTTATCACCTCCGAGACTGGCGCGCACACCCGTCTCAGAGCCACACGCTTCGTTTTCCAAAAAGACTGCCAGGTGGCGCTCATGTATCACATGCGACGCGACTTGACGCGCTCGTTTGCCTTCGCTGCACGCTCGAGGCACTCTAACGCAGCGTTTCCAAAATACCATTCACCTATTTTCTTGCGCAGAACATCAAATTAATTGTTCACTCTCTCCACACGCGAGACTATCGTCTTTGGACGACATTTGCCGATTACGTGCAGATACGTGGCCAATTTTTTTTGTGCATTTCACCACCAACTCTTGCTATGCACTTTTTCTCAATTCTCAGCACTAGTGTTTCCATGCGGTTTCATCAATATTCCCATGAAAAACGTGTCACCTGAAAGAAGCTGGGATGAATCACCAAGTGATGGTGCAGGTGAAGGCACAGGAGAGGCAGCCTTGGAACTGCCGCTTGATGCAGTGGAGAAGGTACGGTGCCGTTCTCGCTGCTTTGACACTGCAATGCACAAGGCGGTGTCATCAAAGCAAGTTCGCTCGAAAGAGGTACGAAGTGAGCACAATCAAGGTTTCCTCTTAAAACTGGAATACAACAGCATTACCCAGCCAACAGCTCACCAGCACATATTAAACAGAATGGAAAGCAACCATAAAATATGTTCCGTTTAACAGGAGACCAAAAGAAGCAAAGAAATCAAGAAGGAAACCAATCATGTCAGATGCAGCTGCTTCACACTGTGGGAATTTAGGCACCAGTTTCAGAAACTATACGCCAAACGACAATTGATATTTCTGCCTGCTTTCAATTTTCTGGGTATGTGTGCAATGTTAAAAACAGTCTAGCATTGCACATGCACGCTCTGGTTTTCATTGAAGATACAAATTACCCCTTCTAAATGCAATAATTGCAAAACGTTCCATTGACTCGGCACCAAACTGCAATGTACGCGCCTACTGTAAAAACATATGAGCGCACAAGGTAGAAGGAAGGAAGCACTTGACAGGAAAGAAGCTCGAATTCCTATATTATGTTGTACCAACTGGCCCAGCATTCCACTTTAATGCGCCTACTGCCACGAGGCAGCTTGTTACACTTAGCATGTGGGTTGAAACCTGGCATGCTGTCAGGAGAAGCTTGACTGCACGCTAGTGTAGGTTACACTACACCCATATTTGCTGAAGGAACTATAGTCGCCAAACATTTTTCCGACCTGGTGGGTATCGCGAAATAGTCTGCAAAATCCAACAGTCCGAAAAAATGGCCAAGCCGTGAAAATAGAGTTTATTTGGATTAGAAAAGCCTAAAAATATCTCCAATCATGCCATGCTTTATGGTGTACTTGAAGACAAGCAAATTCAGTTCTATTTGAGTTACAGAGACTGTGTTGGCAAGCGCATCGGCAAGCGTGTTGGCAATCGCCGCCGCCGACCGTTGCGGGTGGCAGAGTTAGTGGCTCCATGAAACCAGGCAAACAAAACTTGATGCCGGTTACAAAAATATGCATGCAATGTCTCGCCTGTTAGGGATACAACAACACAGATGGGGCTTCTTTTACCTCCAAGGACACCGCATAATAAGTGAGCCTCCAGAATTTCGCCCCCATCAAAACTCTACCGTCGTGGCCGTGATAGAACCCGCATGTCCCAGGTCAGTAGCCAAGCAGCATGACCCCCCCCCCCCCCCACTCCCCGGAGTGCTACTGAGCAATCACGAACAGCAGCGAGCATGTGACGCGCAAGGCAGCTCAGACGCACTCGTCACACCTCTAACATGACCACGTGCACAACGACGACCAGAAAAATAAACACCCAGAAAATAAAAACAACCTACTGTCATACTAATGATGATGATAAGGCTGACTGAAAAAGAAAAGTTTCACGGTTTGCTAGCCAACAAAGATCAGACATACCCTCCGAAACTAGAAGACTGTCCAGACTTCCAATCTTGGAGGCCACACATAGCCACTGCAAACCATACTCGACTAAGCCAACAAAAGATCCAATGTGGCGGCTTTCGAAATGGAGCAGTGTCACTATAGTGCCTAGAATATACTAGCTAGTGTGCTGAGCGCGCACTCTCGCGTGGCTGCCGCGCTGATGCCTTTCCGCAGTCACCGCATGGTGCTGCTGCTGCTCTATAAGGTCCACTGCGCGTCGGCGGCTCCTGCGTTACGAGTAGCGTAGCAGAGCACTTTCTGCAGCGAATCCAGTCTTGATTGATTGATTGATTTGTGGGGTTTAACGTCCCAAAACCACCGTACGATTATGAGAGACGCCGTAGTGGAGGGCTCTGGAGATTTCGACCACCTGGGGTTCTTTAGCGTGCACCCAAATCTCAGCACAAGGGCCTACGACATTTCCGCCTCCATCGAAAATGCAGCCGCTGCAGCCGGAATTTGAACCTGCGGGTCAGCAGCTGAGTACCTTAGCCACTAGACCACCGCGGCGGGGCGCGAATCCAGTCTTCTTCGTTGCTTTTAACACACTTGACAAAAGACTTGACCGGACGAAAAAAGATCTTAGTGCCAAATAACTGCCCAAGATAAGCCTCTGCTGATTCGCAATGACAAAACGAAGAAGCGTTTCACACGCACGTACCTCAAGTTGTCTGCTTGTTTTCGCCATTCTGTGCTTATAACGACCAAGGCCAAATATGAGGAACCACATTGAATGTACTACAGCTCACGGAAGCTGCCATTTGAATATAATACGCTAAGGCTGACACATTAGATGCGAGAAATCGTTGTCATAAGATTGGCTCACGGCAATTTCGATCGTGAACTCCCAATTTTTTTGCAGCTACATAAAAACGTTCACAGTCAAATTTTCCCGCTTAAGGGTGTGCTCGCAGCTGAGTGCCACTTGGTACATCTTACTGCTTTAAAAACCGCGCCATACAAAACTGAGCAACAGCGCTTGCTTTTTTTTTTTAAATCTTCGTGCCGGCGTTTATGTTTTGTTTCCAATGCAGTGATTTTATTCGACCTCGATCTAGTCAACTGCTATTCACGCTCGGTATGATGCAGCATTATGCTAAGGGCATACTCTATGTGCCGAAGTAGTCGGATCATGCGGCTACTATAATTGTCAATCGCGAACAGATAGTCTGCTCTGGGCTGGTCGATGACAAGGCCCCCATGGCATGGTGGCTGACAGAATCGATCTCCTGGTCTTCTTTTTCAAGGCAGAAAATATATTCGAATTAAGCCTAAAACTGCCTTTAAACCACTGCACGTATTTTTGCAAGCAAGCTTGCCCAGGCAAAACAAATATCTTTTCCTTGCGCAGGTGCTCATAGAGTTTCGGGCTGCGCATTCACATCAAAAGGCACTCGACTATCCAGTTCTCAGCGTACGGCTGCCTTTCACAGACTGTCGTTGGGCAGCAAGAAAGCATATCTTCACAGCAAGTTGCTGATTTTGAGGGGGGTTGCTACTCTTTCTAGCACTGCTGATTTATTCAGTGTCCCATTCTGGACTTTCATGCCAGCCACTTGATGCTGCACAGTAGCCAGTTTTCTTTTCGCACAAGATACATTGATTGTTTAGAGCATGTCGCAGACTGACAGGATGCTGAGCGCTTCTTCCTGCGCAGTCTGTTTTACACGAGCCTTTGCAGATATTTGCACTTTGCGCAGCTATTAAGTTTAAGCTGACACTTCTCCGAAAAATACTGTTTGATGAACTCGGCAAACTTTCCCGCATCCGGTTTCAGGCCACATCAGCCACACAGAATCAGCGATGCAGATTTCTTGATCAATTCTTCAGACTTATTTGTTATCTTAAGCATGTGCCTGCCACTTTCCTTTCCACAGAAATTCGCTGTAGCCAGTACTGAACCACATTGGGCATCACAGCTCCGAATGTCGCCATTATTTCAATAAACAGCGCAGTGACATTGTTTTCTGCGCGATAACGCACGTAGGCAATAGAGCCTGCTTGCCTGCAATGTGTCCTTGCCTGCAGTGTGCGCAGGCCCTGCAGTGTGTGTGCTTGATGACTCACTGCTGACATCTGTAACGGCACTGCACTTCCCCGTTTAGCGATGGTATAGTCACAAATATTTCGCAATTTCTTTTATGGTTCCTTTTTACGCTGAAGGTGTTTAGGGTAGTTGTCAAATACCGTTGGTAGTGCGTCGGGGTTCAGGCACGGTCTCTCCCTGGCGATCTCGTTGACGATGCAGCCGGCTGTAGCTTAAAGTTTTTTTAAGTAGATGTCCTCAAAATGCTTTTCATAAAACACACGTCTGGGTCAGCTTGAGCCGCACCCACTCCACAAGTCACATCCAACGGCACAGGAAACACTGACATCTTCTCCGGGATTGTGCAATAGGCTCTTGGGTACATCGGCACGTTTTCTACCTGCCCTGATGCTTCTCCACTGTATCATGTCTTTGTGGTTCCAAGTGGCATAAAGAACAGCATTAACACGCTAAAAACAGTGCACACATCACTAAGACAGCTTCTGACAACACGAGGCATAGAAAACTTACGATGCCGCAGAAGCAACACCGGCAACACACATACCAACGGTCTGCACTGACTGCACCTCAGCGACAAGTGGCGCAGCCTGCCGGCGAAAATCGGAAGGCATCTCCGGCCCTGCCATTTCCTCCCATTGTGAACTGCTCCGCTCAGGAACACTAGCCAGTATATTCTAGGCACAACAGTATAACTCAAAACAAACGACCTAGTCCGAAAAATCGAACTTTGAAACATAAATTCATCCGAAAAATCAATTCCGAAAATGAATCAGTGCAATGGGAACCTTGACAGTGCATTTCTGGAGTCCGAAAAATCTGTCTGCGACTGTACTGCACCTAACATTTTATAAGATATATGAACGAAAAGCAGAATGACAGAACTTTTCACTTTCATTGTTTCATTAACACGATATATCCTATGCGAATGATATTAATTGCCAGGTTCGAGATTATGAGACAAAACTGAACAGATCGTAAGGACGCACTTCTATCTACAAAGAAAAATAAATAACAGGAATTGAAATTTGAGATTTATATTATGTACTACTGTTTCACAGGCATCATACCTGAAAAATTCAATGTTTTTTCTTTGAACAAGACTGCACCAACAAAATTTCACAGTAAGTACCACAACGGGACGTATCATATGCAACAGCAGTTACTTAGCATGATGCATAGCGCAACTTTGCATGCCTTGTAGTAAACCAATTTTCAGCTTCGTTTTCTAGCTGCACTTGCATGTCTTTGTTGTTTCTAAGATTCCATCCCAGCAGGCTGGCGCTGAAACGCAAACTGAGATGGCCCGAAGCAGAAACAGAGGAGTGATGTCCCAGGCTGATTTGCACCGTCGTTGCGCTCAGAGTCAAAGCGTGACCAAAAAGCAGCATATTCACACTTTCTGCTGCTGGTTGAATCAATAAAATGAGCTGCAAACACACTGGAATGCCGATATTTTTTTAATCTTTCAAAGCGTGCGTGCACAGTGTCCTGTGGCAGCCATTTTTGCTTTCCATTTAGACCATTGTGCGACTTTGAGCCGCCCTCAAATAACAAGACCACACAGAAGAATCACCAAATAAAGAACGTGTCATTCTCAACGAATGACACGGTGTGTCTGTGAGGAGAGTGGAATGTCTCAAAAGCTACAATTTAAACCATCGATATTGGGCTATTGATGTTCCAAGAGCACAATATGCGCACACATGGAGCTCTATGGGAGGATAAATGATTCCAAAAAAGACCATGTTGTAGCTAGTCCTGCACTATAAGTGAATAGGTTACACGATATCAGGGCAATAGAGGGCTTGAGCTACAATTGACTAAAAATGGTACAAGAAGCGATGCGATCAACCAAAGACAATTTCACACAGCTTGTGGAGCAGCATGACGAATATTTGGAGTAGTTACCAAGCCACCATATTAAAGTGCAAATATTTGTCGCTCAGCTGGACCAGTAGTACCAAAGGTTCAAGAGGATTAATTTATGCACAAATACACACATTTTTACTTAGAATACCCCAAAACTTGATAGTATTAAGTTACTGCTTATACTTTTTCTGCCAACCACCCTATGTTTCTTTAAAGGGGCCACTAAAGTGAAAACGAATTTGGCTCAGATTGATAACATTTCATGGTATAATCGTCAGGTGCAAGTTGCAGAGACTTTTCTGCGATGAAACAGGGACGAGCTTTTCTGTATGACAAACTAGAATGACGAAGACACACAAACTGTTCAGGCGTTAATATGGTGCTCAACAATTTAGGAGATCAAAATAATAAAGGTGGTCGTGGACTCATTTCCTACAGGAAGCAAGTTCTTTGTTTAATTTCATTTCTTTTTGTCAATGTGAGGGAAGCAAGCTCTTTGTTTAATTTCATTTCTTTTTGTCAATGTGAACTATAAATGGTTTTCTCACTTTCATCATCTATTGGGTACTTATGGTGAAGAAAAAAAAAAGCCCTCAAATGATCTGCACTGTGGAGTCATTATATGCATTTATGAAATGCCATCATGCCACTTACGTTCACACATGTCTACTTTAAGTCTATTCAGGCACATGCAAAGCCCAACACAATACTCACCAAAAGTGAAAGAGCCATCCACTCGCCTGAAGGAGCCATCATAACACGACTCGCTTGTTGTCACCTCGCCATCCAAGTGGCGACGATACGGTCGCTTTTTGTCACTATGATGCCGCCTCATTTCTGCAAATACACATTGTGATTCTGTAAAAACGGTGTAATATCGCTAACATGAAATAACAATTAACATATTGCCAAGAACTTTCACTTCAGGCCACAAATTTATCTCTAATTATTACCGTAATATCAATGCTTTTGCATAAGAGGTTCTCGCTCAGTGTACATTTGCGATGAAACTTCGACGACGATAAAGTCAACTTTAAATTGCCCAGAGATTGTATATAAGCTGAATATTATTTTTGGCCACAGATTTGTTTTATATTATTGTTATGTCACTGCTTTTGTATAAGAGGCTCTCATCTGATGAACATATATGCTTTAATAACTTCAAGGATCATAAAGTCACATTAAATTGCCCAAAGACTGCATATACGCTTCAATCAAAACACACAAAGTGATATGAATGAACCCAAAACTGTCTTTTTGCCTAGTACACGAATAGATTTGGCTGCACTGTCACAGGAAGTCGCTGTCACGTACCAAAGCTCCTTTAGATTCTCGGTATGCGTTGCCCTGCATGATCTCAATGTAGTGCAGCGGAAATGATGTAGTACACTGTTCGGCACACTTTGGATCAAAGCCCCGTGATCTCTGGCTTTTATCTGTTTTATTTCTCAATGAGTACCGCATTGTTAATACATATTCTTTAGTACAGACAACCGAAATATGTGATGCAGCAGTTTGAATTCAGCGACGTTAAAATACTACATGGAAAACATACTCGGTCCAACCAAAAATATGAAATTTGTTTGAATTATCAGATTTTGTCACAAGTAACTTCAATGTGAAATTTACCTTATCGTGAGTCTACTGTACAGTACTAGAAGAATAACTGCATATTTTAAATAGAAACACAAATATGCTTAAATATATAGTGGCAAAGCTGTACAAAAGTCGGAGAGAAAAAAAGGCACCTAAACAACCTTGTGTAGAGCAGGCTGTCAGCAGACCTTCAATGAAGGAAGCAAATACATATCAGCCCCTAGTCAACAAAGAGGAAGTAAAGCAAAGACATCAAGTAGACACATCTGCACAAAGCTGTGAGCATGTGATGTTAGCATGAGTGGTCAGCTGATAAGTATGCAATTTTCCTGTCTCAGGGGTGGAACAGGGTACATGGGTTTGAGAGCAGTCCATGGAGTAGGCAAAAGTGTCTTTTGTAGCAGGCTTGGAGCAGCCAGAAAGGCCTTTTCAAGCAAGTTAGGAGCACTCAGAGAAGACGTTCAGAGCAAATATAGCCCCCGTTTTACAGCACTTGTGAAGTAACATTTGTGCAACAACTTTACTATTGAGACAGCAATAATGTGGACTTTTCAAACAGGTGTTTGCGGTTGCCATCATGTCCTGTATAAAGTAAAGTGATATCCACCGACTCAATGTATGTTCTACCCGCAGGTACAATCGCGCCAGCAGGGGCAACAAACCTGGCTGAAGCAGATATCAAACGAGCCAGCCAATCTCAGTCTCTCGTGTCAAAACAGAGGGAAGGTACCCCGCCTGTCTTCAGCGACCATGAAAAGACATGAGGTGGTGGTGGGGGTGGTCGCTTAAGCAGCAACTGCGACCATTCTTTCAAAAGGCACAGTCGTGATTGCTGGTGCTCTCATCGCAAAAAGACTGTACGAAAAGTGCCCCTGGAGTAGCCGTATTCTTTTACACCGGCGTTTTGCAGAGTTGCATAAGGTCGGATCCTAAAGAGTTAGCGACCAGCATCACTTCGTGTAATATTACGATTTGTTGCTGCCACATTCGCTGCTTTGCCCTTGCAGTGAAACTGACTTTTTAGCCATGTACAACCACGAATCTTTTTTTTTTAGGGGCGAAGCTCCTTAGGGCGTGGGCTGTGCGTCCCCTGTAGCCTGTATGTAGCCACCTCTAGTTTAGTTCTTGCACTGTTCACTAGATGGCGGTACCGTCCCCTGAATGTATGTTCGCCTCGCGTTGGGTGCTCACGGGAAGACGACAAACGAGGCTGTAAAGGGCGATATGGGGTGGGCAGGTTTTGAGGCGAGGGAAGCGCAGAGCAAAATAAGGTTCGAAGAAAGGCTAAGAAATATGAAGGAGAGTAGATGGGCAGAGAAGGTGCTCCGTTATTTGTATAGGAAGAGCGTGGACACACAGTGGAGAAAAAGAACTAGAAGACTCACTAGTAAATATACGGCTGGTATTGTGAGCCATATGTCAACAAAGAGCGTTAAGGGAAAAGTCAGGGAGGCGGAGAGGATTTACTGGATGGCAGCTATGGAGAAAAAACCGGCTCTGAGTAACTACCGAAAGGGCAAAAATGAAATAAGGAGGGAGGCATTTTACGATAATTCAAGGGGAAGCGCTTTACTGTTTGAAGCGAGATCTGGTTGCCTTAGAACGCGTAGTTATAAAGCAAGATTCAGTAAAGAAGAAGAACAATGCACATGCTGCGGGAAAGATAAGGAAACGGCGGAACATGTTCTGATTGAATGTGGAGATATCCACCCAGGTGTACGTTTGGGCACGAGCCTGCAGGAAGCCTTGGGTTTTAGGGACAACAATGGAAAGCTGAACACACCCGCGATTGAAATGAGTAAGAGACGGTTGGAGTATTGGTGGCGGAAAATTGGAGAGAAGGGACAAAAATAAATATTGGAAAAATAAAATATGGACAGTGTGCCGTAAATGGCAGAGAACTTAAGCTGAAAATTTGCCTTTTTTTCCATTAAGATAGAATTTATCGAAGTAGAGGCATTAGGCCAACATAAAAAAAAAGGGAAAAAAAGGTTTTTTTTTTTTTTTTGTCGAGCCTGGTGGCATACTTGTCACCACCCCGTTATAAAGGGGACGCTCATAGCATCCATCCATGTAGCCACCTCTAGTTTAGTTCTTGCAGTGTTCACTAGATGGCGGTACCGTCGCCTGTATGTAGCCACCTCTCGTTTAGTTCTTGTAGTGTTTACTAGATGGTGGTACTTGTAGCTGATGATGAAAAGGTGCAAGATGTTATAAACTAGAAAGCGGTACTTGTAGTTGATGAAAGACGCGAGATCTTATAAAATAGGAATGATGTCACATATGACGGGTGTCATTGGTTGAAGGCAATTGTTCGATTTAGTGCGGCGACGTACGCTAGGGGGAGCGTTGTAATAAAATCCGTTCGCTGTTGGCGCGCGCTCGGAGTCGCCGGATGGATAAGGCTGCACAGCGGAGAGAGCGCAAGGCGGCAGCAGCGCGCGCTCGCAGACAGAATCCCGATGTGCGAGCGCGCGAGGCAAGGGTCATCGCAAGCCATCCATCGTCTAAGAACAAATAAAAGTTGATTTGTGTATATACACACACAGCGTTTCTCACGTCTTTACATGATGATCGACTGGGCGAATTACACGGAAGATTCACAGTTTACCGATGAATCCCTCCGGAGCTTCGCCCATTCATCATCATTCAACCCGTGAATATGCCGTAATTTTTTTTCTTTTTTTAACTGAATGCATGAGTGTCATCTGTCGGGTCTATTAGCAGCATATAATGGAGCACAGTGGCAAAATAAATGAGAATACGCGCATGCGATCAATGAGCAGTCCGGTGCACCTGTTTTTACTTGCCTAATTCGAGAACCAGACACTTTCAGGAACCGGACATTTTTTTTTTTCTGAACGCTATCAAGTTATAAAGAAATAGTTTTACCGCAAGGACAAAGTATCTATGCAATAGTGACATATTGTAATGTATATAAAGTATACAGTTAAACCTGCTTAAACGAACCTCCATATAATGAATTCCTTGATATAACGAAGTTTTTCTATTCCCTGCCGTTGCTCCATGGAAGCACATGTATGTGCGACCTCTGTGTAACAAATTAACAGCGAGAGACACCCTTGATGTAACGAATTTTCCCCACGAACAATCTAGAAATTTTGCCCCGAATTTCGGCATTTTGGTACGAGCAAGCATCTTCCGAAGGTGCCCCGCCTCTGACGAAGAGGGAAGCGGCGCGCCCGCGCCCCACGAGCAGCCATTCTTGTTACCGCATGTGCGAATAAGCTGTCACTCCCCCATACCCCTCCCCCACGAAAAAGAGAGAGAGAGAGAGAAGAAATACTTTTGCGTTTGCAGCGCCCCGCTGCATATGGAGTATACTCTAAAAAATACAGCGGAACTTCGATTAGACATCCTCCAGCTACGCAACGACCCGCATTTCACGACGGATCTGTTTGGTGCCAGCAAAATCTCTATAGAAATAATGTACTAAAAACCTTGATTATACGAGACAGTTTTATGCCCACCCCGAATCTTATGACTTTGAGATTACGTCAGAAAGAAAAAAACTACATAAACTCTAATCAAACGTCGACCAAATATTCACGAGTGTAAAATATGAACTTGCTTTCCCCTATGTTGAAGATGAAAAAAGCTGAGAGCGACACGGAATGTATTCTTAGAATAAAAAATTTATTCTTCTGAAAGTTCATGTGCTTCTGCATACTCCTCGATCGCACGTGTACGCTTCAGGGCCATTACCTAGTCAAGCTCTATCCACACAAAGTAGCTTCAGCCGGCCAAAAAGGTGACATTTTGTATTTTTGGTCTGTGGAAGCTACTCCTGGTCGACATACAGCAGATTTCCTGCCTTAGTTGCACTCAGTTACAGGCTCGCGCACGCGCAGGGGCGTGACGCATCTTTTTTTCATCATAACAAATTACTGTATTTACACGATTGTAAGACGACTCGAATGTAAGACGACCCCCCCAAAATCGCATCTCAAAAAAAAAAAAAAAAAAAAAAAGAACGCGCGCATTTTACACAAGGGAAATTTATTCACGTGGTTGCGGAGGATTATTCATCGTCGCTGGAGTCGTCCTCGCTGGTGCTGCTGCCATCATTGCTGCTGCAGTCCCACAGCACGTCGTCGTCAAGTGTGAGTAGGCCGCAAGCTTCGCCTCTAGTTCCGAAAAGCGGCCAGACTTCGGCCCGCGAAAGCCACGGCGCTTGGAGTCGCACGAGAAAATTTCCTCGCGCTGAAGCCGCCACTTCCGCACCACAAATTCACCGATTCCGAACTTCCGTCCTGCTGCACAGTTGTTGGTTTCCTCCGCATGAAGAATAGCAGCCCGCTTAAACGCTGCCGTAAACGAGCGCCGATTGTTTTTCGAGCCTACGGCACTCATGTCAGACAGAAGTGACTCGAGAGAGCCGGTCGTGGACACAAGCGACAGGAGCTTGCGGCGACGCGCCCGCTTAGAAAATTGTATCACAAAGAGGAGCTCTTCCGTCAACTACCAATACCCCCCTACGGCGGCTCTTCCATCGATTACCGGTGCTCCCTCAAGAGCCGTGCGCTCGTCATAAAAGCACTCGTAATGCGCGCAGTAGATGCTAAAAAAAGAAAAGCTTTTGTATAAGCACGCGGAAAACTATGCGCTTTGGGTTGAGCGGGAAACTATTCGAGATGACAATACATGGTTCGATTTCGATTCTAAGGTACATGGTTCGATTTAGATTCTAAGACGACCCCCCAACATTGGATTGTCAAATTTGAAAAAAAGGGTCGTCTTACAATCGTGTAAATACGGTACTTTCACTGGACATCAACATTCATAACAACAGTAGGACATCGCTAGTTGCACTTGACAAGCCAACAAATTATAACACGCACAGCTTAGCTGCGAACAACAACATTCCATGCGAACTCGTGGTCTGTCGCCATTAGGGGATGCTGTTAGCAATGCGGTTTCTGTTTTGTTTTTATGTGCAGGCAATTTTCCGACTTTATGAATCGGTAGAAAGATGCGCTTTAGACTCGATTTATTTATAAGTTGAGAATACAGATTCGCTTGCACTTCCTCCAACTATGTAATGCTGCCATTAGTTACCGCACGCAACAGTTTAATCGACCTTCCTTGCAGAGGCGCAAGTTCGTGCTATGGGCTTATTCAAGTATACGACGGTTTTGCGTGGTCCCCTGAAAGTTCACTCTTCGTTTTTGACGCCATTCCCGCATGCATGATTTCACTGCGTGTGCATAGAGTGGTCCTCCGACGATGTAAGGCATGCTTTATTATTATTACTTTTTTCAAAGCGGACAAACGTGTCATCACTACCAAGGAGATGATCAGATCAGGCGCTGATGGAAAGTCTCCAAGACAACGGGGACAACAACAGATATTCAGAGGTTTTCTCATCCTGTACTTCCGTCTTGCGCCACGATTCGCAGGCCCGTAGCTTTCGCGATTACCCGATTAGCTCTGGCAACACAACAATGTGTTGAATACAATGCAATAAATGCAACAGCAACAAATTGTAATGTTATATTAGTAAAAAAAGACTGGCAGAAGATATCGTGGAACACCTGCGAAAAGCTGGTGTAAGCAAATATGGCGGCTCCAGGGAGAAGTATTCTTTTCAACAGTCTGTGTTGAAAGCACATCAAAGTTCACCATTCCTACTCGAACGACCCCACCTCCTATCCCCTTCCACCCCCCCCCCCCCCCCCCACCGGCCCACGTTTTTTCATGCCCATTCAAAGACTGGTGGTTTTCTTTGTGTTAGAGCACTCAACAGAAGTTCTAGCACGCACGGAGATGTTATCGAATGAACTCTCCTGGCTATAGAGATGGGCCAGATTATTTTCTCTGCTTCAGCAGCGCTGGCGTGATTTTACCTGCTCATAAAAGTTACGTGCATGGGAGCATGTTATAAATTTGGACTTGCTACGGAACATGGCAGTGATGGCAAATACCTGTCGAGTGTGTCCATATAACTACTATCGCAGTAATAACTTAGTTTTTTGCTGCTAAATAAATGTTTTGGGTGAGCTTTACCTTCAGCTCTCCTTTCAATTTGAGCTGTTAGTAATTAAAATTTTGAAACCAAACTTGCATATAACGAAAGCCTCTTTATAAAGAAATTTTCCGGGGATGGGTCACTTTTGATTTATCCAGGTTTAATTGTAAAGCCATTTTGATGAAACTGAAAGCAAGATATTTCGGCCAGGATTTCCGGGCACAATGCTTGATGGCTGTCACACCTTGGCATAGAGTTAATATACAGGCTCTGGAGGAAAAGCTCGACATAGAGCCAATGCATTAATACCCGTAACCACAGTGGTGCCACCGTGATAGACCAATACTCAGCTTATGGGTGGTCTCACTCGCACTCACCAGTGCATACAACAATCGCCCCTGGCATATTTATTTGTTTTATGGCTATCTTTCATCGTAGTTTAGAGAGCCACTCATGGCAGCAAAAAACATGGACGGCAAGGCAATACGATTCACACGACGTGCGAACAAGCCAGTGCAATCAGCCAGATAGCCACATCCTCAAATATTATTATAGTATGAGGATGGTGGTGCTACCTAGTTAACAAAACTGCAAAAGCTCCTTTCTGTACACAGTATATGGCATAAATAACCACTGCATCTATGCTAAAAGTATCCTCCCCCTCCCGATACAAACATCTCACAATTTCTGCCATTTATAATATACAAAAATGTTTGTTTATGATTTATATTGCGAGAACTTGAGTGTTTTAAACTACTATATTTAGTGAGCCTTTATTATGGCAATGGCAACAATGATAATGTACCAACATGTCGCTGCTCACATGGTAAAAGCTTTATGGGCCCAGCTTTTCCTCTAGAGTCTAATATCAACTCTATGCACCTTGGGACTAAATTAGGATGCTACTGCACAGTACAGCACTGATAAACGAGTTTGGCACAGCAGCGGTGGTTCGGCGCAGGATGGCAAAGGTAACAAATTTGGCCCACAAAGGCACAGCTTTTCCACCCGTGCTGCCTGGTAATAAAACGGTGGAGTGGTCACACATTCAGCAAGGCAATGCTATGAGCCTCCCTTTCCCATGCCAATGGGTTTCTATGATTGACTAACAAGTCGCTTTACTTAACTCGGAACAGCTGCTGCACTTTTTAGAATAAACACCAACGTGGCCTCTGATGGCTATTCTGACGATATGTTGGTGCCTATAGCCCCTCATTTAAACAGCAGCCAGTCTGGTCACACTTTTCCACTCGCCAAGGGAACAACTTCGTGCGAGTCTTTTTCTGTTTTCGTCTTCCGTTCTGCTCTCTTACAGCAGCGTTGAACTCTGCAAGCTTTGTCAAAATCGGTCAAGAAATTTAAAAGAAGCCTTAAAGTGGAACACACCTCCATGCGTGACACCTGCCCTATATAGCATTCTGTTTGCTTCTGCGTCAAATCCAACATATCACAAAGCATGTCAAGCAAAGCATGTCAAGCAAAGCACGCCATGTATTCCCTTGAGATTCAACAGTGCATGCACTCACTTGCTGACGAAAGAAGAGTCTGGGCAGCATTATGTGCTAGCTTCCTGCTTTTCTTGCGTGCCTGGTCCACAGTGAGGCCAGTCACTTGGGCCAAGCGAGACTTTCTGCAAACACAATTTGTACAAGTAATAATATATTTCCATTTGTTCAGAAAGATATCCCTATTTATCACTGCTCACTCGACACACCAGTTCCTAAAGGAGCAGGACTTTGATTTGGGCCATATACAGCTTCCCAGACCTGGCAGAGAACAAAAGTTGTCTGAAAACTGACCAGTCTGAAAAAGCTGTCAAGACATGAAAATGAAGTTTATTAAGATTAGCGCCACCTAAACAGTCCCTGTTGATGCCCTACTTTATGCTAGGCTTGTAGTTGAGCATTTATGGCTGTATACAGGCTACATGTGGTGACGTAAGCACATTGGCAATCACTGCTGCCGACCAGTTGGTGGGCTCATGACACCAACCTTTCCAAATTGGAACGCAGACACACAAGTATGCCCAGATCGCAGTTCGTCGGCGGACTTTAGCGATGCAATATCCGAGGGCTGGGGTTGCTTAAAGACCTGCACTGATATCACACAGTACGTGAGCCTCCACTATTTCCATAAAAACTGGACTACCGCAGTGAGCCTGCGCGTTCCCGGTCAGCAGCCGGGCACCATAACCACTCAGCGAAAGAACATGAAATGTGCACACCGTCGCAAAAACACTTGGCATACCACGGTCATGGGCTCCTACAGAATGACGATTTCGGGATAATGAGTGAACTTTATCCCCACATACTAATTAATAATGATGAAGCTGACTGGCAAATAAAAGCCCTAGAGTGTGCCATGAGCCTTCTGTCAGCCAGGAAAGAACGGGAATGGCCTCGGAAACCAAAATATTGTGCATGCTACCAATCTTGGAGGCTACACGACAGGCTACTGGCAGCCAGCAGAAAATCCAATTCGGTGGCTTTCAAAGTTGAGCAGCGAGACTTAAAACGAGCAACTAGGGTGAAAATTGAATTCTCAGCACAAGTGCGGCCAGAAAATCAATCTCAGTAAATGCATTAGTGCTATAAAAAATTTGGCGGTTCGTTTAGAAAGTCTGAATTTTCAGAGTTGAAAAGATGGCTTGAAGACCGGTGAACTGGGAAGAGAGCATCACAGGAATACGCACTGGACAAAAGCAGACTTGTTTTGCACACACAGCTTCAGTGGCCCCAAACTAGTTAAATCATGCAGTAAGTGTTTGCATTTGACGAGAGTGCTGCATTTATTTCCTTTGTAGTTCTCGCCGGCAACCACATAAATTCACATCTTGAACACAAGCATTGTACAAAATAGCAAAACATTGGTTGTTTCCAAACAGTCCAAAGTCAGAAGCTGGAACAGAATTTGAGTATACTCCCCAGAAGGCAACCCCCTTACCATTAATAACTTTGGCAACTTTTATTTCAAGGAATTACAACCGCAAATCAAGTACTCTGTCAGCTAAGAAACCTCCAACACAAAGCAAAATACTCCATGCTTGGTTGTACTGAGAACTTTTCCACCAAAAAGATATGTTTACCACATAATATTACGAAGCGAAATCGAGTATTTAATGAATCAAGCGAGAACTGCTTTTTTCTCATGTGTCAAGGCCAATGCAGTGCTCAAATGCACTTCAAGCTCACATGCTCTTGAAAAATGCCTCAAAAAGATTAAAATGTGAACCGTACAGCAGTGTCAACCCTAATGCATGTACAATTATTGAGATGATGCTACAAGTTCAAACATGTGACTTTTTTTTTTCATTGCTTTTGAAAACATTGTTCACTGGTGATCAATACCTCGTAATGTGGTAATGATATGGGCTGATATACTGAAAACCTCGATTAGTATAATAACTTTTAGTATTTTTATGAATCCTTTGTCGTATTACTTAAAAGTTTGACGGGTCAGATTGTACAATAAAGTATTCTGACTCAATTAACAATGAAGCCATTTGCAAAGAGCTACTAACAATTTAACACTGAAATTTTGAGACATGAAGCACCATTGAAGTACACAGTACTTCGTTCCTAACAAACCATTTGTTAAAGCTTGATGTTTAACCCAGAAATCCACACATACTTCCTTAATGTCGCAGACGCTCTCAGTGCAAGCTTTTGAAGTTCTCCTGTTCGTAGCAGCATTTCAAAGTGCAGCTTCAGTGGTATCTCTGTAAAAAAAGCAAGAAATACATCGATTCCACATGAACGACTCCAATGCATAGATCTGTTAGTTCGTAGGTTCAACTGTGAAACATGACGAAAATTTCCCATTAGAAGACATTTTAAAGGTCATTCAAAGGACACATGCCACTGATCTCAGGAGTGCTTTCAGAGAATGGAATTGAGAGATGCAGGAGATGGCAGTGGGGCAGCAAGCCTATTACACAGTAATAAACATCACACAGAAGATCCCACGGCTCGGTTTCGCCGGATGTGCACAAGCCTGCACCGATGGGCACGCACTTTGGGCTGATGTTGCAAGCTCTACGGCCGGAGGCCCTTGGAGAGCACTGGCTTGTGCATGAGCGGGACTATTTCTTTAGCCACAGAGGCAATCAGATATGCAGGTGGCACCTCTACGAACTTTTTAAGTAGTAACCGAACTATAGTAAACAGACTTCATTGTCATTCCTCGTCTACGTTCAAGTGTGAACAAGACAAGCCTTCATAAAAGAAAGCATGTGAAATCAGGCAGACAGAATAAAGACAAGCCTTCATAAAAGAAAGCGTGTGAAATCAGGCAGACAGAATAAAAGGTGCGGGTTTCCCAGATCACTTTGCGACCACAGCATGTAAAAGAGTAATTTGAACGCTAAAGTCAAGAAATTAAAGCAGAACCTGTTAGAAAAATAACCAGCAGCATTGTGGTTGTGCCATAGGTTCCCGCCTAACCCACATATTAAGAAAGCATATCAGGCAGATATTTCTGTGCCAAATAAACTAGGAGGAATCAGCAGATGTGTAAACAGAAACGCAGAGAAGAAACAAAGGGAAGTCAGGCTGTGGCATGAAAGGTCTCAAGCAATAAAGTACTGAACACAGTATTCGATTTTTATTCCATGCTGTTTACATAGGCAACACAGGAAGATGCATAGATGTTAAAATAAGGGTGCCTGAAACAGGTATCCCTAGCAATGGCTTATGGCATATTGCACGCACATAGTCAGCAATGTGGCTGTGAACCTCATTTCAGTGAAAACAACATTGTTGCAAGGCATCACGACCAGGCAAGTCGAGATAATCACAAAAAATAAAAAAGCCATGAATACACAAATTCAAAAATCCCCATAATCACACAAAATCAAAAAGCCATGAATCAGCTTCTCATGTATTACTTTGCACCATGAACAGATATTGTATGTTGGTACAGCACAAGTTCTCAAAGAGGGTTCCATGACATGAAGCAGCTCCAGTTTTACTCTCATTAGAAAATGATTTGCTCATTTACATCAACAAATTTGCATTATCTTTCCCCTTACTTTTCCCCATTGCATGCCACATCTGCATATCATGTATGTGGTAGCAGTACTAAAGGCTCGTCGTGTAGTGTGCGCCATGAAACTTTCACAAGTTGCACACCCGTGGTGCCAGAACATGCGGACTGCTAGCAATTCATGCTAATTAGCATCCAATCCAACTTACATTAATAGGCGCCCCGGTGCTTTGTTCAGCCTGGCATCCAAACCAATTCGAATGACATTAACAAGCACCTCTGCTCATGGTGCTTCGATGATCACGCCAAAGTTTCTATACAAGGTGATTGGCGATGCTCTATGCATGCCAGCCACGTAATCAAAACATGCAACAAGCACTTTAATATGTGTAAGATGCGTCGCTTCGTACTGGCTGTAGGCTATACATACAAAGGCTTAGCTTTACGACCTATCCATGAGTAACAGCCAGTGTGTTTCGCCGTGTAACTGGCACACAAAAATTAACACAAGACATCTGTATGCCCAGTGCTTTGCTTGTGTGAACATACCGCTCTTACTGCTTACGCTGCACGGTGCCTGAATCATGCAATGTGTGGTCAGTGGGCGCATTATCTGACTCACGGAGCAGCACAGGAAAGGGGGGAAGAGGGATCTCAAGTTATGAGTTATTGAGAGTTTTGCACCAGTTACGATAGTCTTCAATATTTAAAGGGTTACCGAAATAAAAATTTTCAGTTTTTTTTTTTGCATCAAATGAAAGTCCAAGCTCTCTAGGGCCCAGAAAATGGTACTGACAAGCATGAGCATATCCCAAAAAACTAATCGCAACATGTTTTTAAAAGGTAGTATCTGTTCCTATTGTACACTGACATCACAACATAGGAAGAGCTTCTTGTGACGTGCTCATGTAAGATATCGTGAGGTTTCCACGGCTGCTCTGTATCGTGGCTTCGTACAGTGATGCACAATCCAATTTTAATGCTTTAATGAAGCACAAGTGGCTATTTTTGGTAGTTTTGGTATCCACAAAAATTAACACTGTAGCCTGATGTCAGGCTAGTGTCAATGTCATGAGGTGCACGTTAAGAAAATCGACTTCAATATAAAATATAAGCGTTTGCCGAGTATCACGCTTGCTCAGAGCAGTATATTTACAGGATGATGATAATCAAAACTTCATTACTACCAAAAGAGGGGACCGGCCGAGAGGTCAGTTAGGTTGTATGGTGGAGTAACCAAAACCTTTTAAAGGTGGTGTCAGAACCCCTTGAAGAAAATGAGAACAGGTCAACACGAGCAGTGTTCATACTGTTGCGTGTGTCGAGAGACATTACCATCACCATTACCGCCTAGAGCATGGTCTACAACTCTAAAAGCTTATGCCTTGAGCATCTTACAGTACGCTCTCCTTCTGTATACGAAATGGAGGGCGGTTCGCAGAAAATCTACTGTAGGCAAGAAATACAGACAATGAACAGAGCTTCGGTACTTTACCCCAGACATTCTAGTACCACCTTGCAAGGACAATTTGTCGCTAGCACTCAACTTTTAATCAGAAATACAGAATATTTATTTAGATTTTTAGACAGACGACCCCCCCCCCCCCTTCTCTACGGTCACTAGGCTCATGTCAATGACTATAAATTTTCAGGCCTCTTTACACTACAAAAAAGAGCATCTATCGGGCACAGTATAGGTGTATGCAGCATCACACTGTCACAGTTTTTATAGAAGCTTTTTCCAGAGGCAGCCATTTCTGGCACAAAAATCAGTGAAGAAATGTTTCCAGCGTAGCATGCATATCTTACTTAAGGAGCACTGACATCAAATTTCAAGATTGAAACGTGCTCATCATTCGATAAGTTGGTATGCATAGGTCTTCTTGGCCAAATTTAAACGGCATCCGTCGCGTGGAAGTTATTTTAATTCGATGACAAACACCGTAGAAAAGCTGAGGATAAAAAACAGAAAATCAACTGCCCTGCTACATCGACACTAGTGCTACGTGTTCGGTGTGATACATTCCACAAATATCATCCTGAGTGACGATGCCCTAGTAGCGACGTGTATGATCTGAGTGGTCTTATCGTGGCGCCGAAGCGCAGAAACGCACTCGCTCGTCGCGTCCGATTTTCGTTGCACCGGTTTGAATGATTTCGTGAAGTTATCTAGAAAAAAAAACCACCTTTAAAAGAACGGCGAAAGAAAAGAGCATGAATAAACGTGTGGTTGTCGGTCAGCATGTAAGAGAATCGTTGCGAGTTGCAGGTGAGTTGCAGTCGTCGAGTTCGAAGCATGGAAAAAGCGCAATGAGGGTGTTTTTTCATATAACGTATGTGTTGCACAACACGACCACAAGCTATCGAAAGTGGAACAGCCTACAGTCTGATATCACCGCTAACAAGTAACACGCAGGTATCGTTGAATTTTAGTTCATCTGTAGACTTTGCGTCCACGTTAAAGTGGTAATACCATGTGAACTGTGAGAGGCTGGATAGGTGGTGCCATCTGGAGGCTCAACAAAAAACCTGGAAGTTGGAAACGTATTCTATTTCTTTGTTGATGCTCATTCGCGATAGCTATATTGCATTGACCCCTCTGCGTATACCTGAATGCTTTGCGCGCCAAAACACACCAATATAGCTAACAGACACACGAGCGAACATGGCTGGAGCGTGCATCCTCGGGCACCTCTGCAGCGCTGCTTGGAACGACGACCATTTCGGAATCACTGTTCTGCAAAAGGTCGACCGAAGCAAAAATAATTTGCGAGGTCGCGAATCGCGGGGATTGCAAGCTCCAGACTACTGTATTGAACCCGAGTCGATACTTTGTATGGCGACGACAGCAAAGCAGGTGACAAGGCATGACTGAATGTGTCTGCTTAGCAGACGAAATGTTTGGGGAGCAGCTGAGCCTGACGTCACTCTTTTCTGTGGAGAAATGGCCAGCTGTGGCGGGATCTGGAGGTGACCGCGAGATAGCGCCACTGCTGATACTCCCAGCGCTAAATATGGCGGGATCACTGGCCTTTCTGAGTAGTGCTAGATACCAGTGATATGAATCAATAGAAAGTGAGTTACTCGTCCCTCAGTTGCACTTCAGGTCACGAATCACTGCTACAGGGGTCTATAGCTACTAGCTGACGCCAAAATCTTGGCATGAGTAAATTTGATATCAGTGCTCCCTTTAACTCGAGAAGTGTTCAAAGAGAGACTCCAAAAATAAACAGTGAGGCTGGATCGAACACGGACATTTTGGAGCAAACTTCCAAGAATCCTCACAAGCAAGCACTCACCTGTGGTGAATGAGAGCACAGGGTGGAAGCCCGGGTCGAGCAGCGCTGCCTTTTCTTGACGCGTCATTAGCTCAGTGTCCAATGCTCGAACACTGTTGTAGCGCCCACCGCATATTAAGCACGGCGCAAGTGGCGGCAGGGTAGGCCCATCCACTGCCAGACCACCATCTGCTGAAGATGCGGCCAAGTCGGCAGCTGCGGCACCGGGAGACGTGGGTCCACACACTGAACGACACGGACACTGTACTGTTGCTGACAAACGGGCCGACTTGCGTGCCGAGACAAGCGCCGAGGCAGCAACCACCACCTTCCGCTTACGGAAACCGGCTGCCAGCGCCCGTGTCCGTGCGCAGCCGGGCAAGAGTTCAGAGAGAACTAGGCCATTTGGCTTGGCCTCCGTCTTGTCGTCGTCGTCGGCATGGTGCGGGTCTTGGCCTTCGAGGCACACGTCACCTTTGGCTCTCCGCAGCTGCCGGCACAGATCCGTCTGTTGTCGGATGCGAAACTCGAGATCGGCTACCTGTGCCTGCAGCCACGTCCAGCGAGAGGCCAAGGCAGCACGGTCCACGGACCAACGCCACGCCGCACTCTGCCGCCTACAATGGCAATACGCAACAATTGCAAAGATGAGCTGAAGTGTGTTCACCCTTGTTAAAAAAAAAAACAATGCAAAAAGTGCCATGGCCTGGCTGTGTTCAAGTAGCCATGTACACCTGATTACACAAAATACACTGATTAAACGGAGCTGGTGCAAAATGCACACAATACCTAGCCTCGCCTAAGGCCCCTGGAACTTTGTAAAATAACACTATGCTTTGAAGCAAGCCTCCCTCTCTCTTCCTGCCTTTTTCAGATGCCAAAAGAGATTTGGCGCCTGCAAGAATCGACGACAGCGAAAATATAATGAGCTATAAGTTTTCATAGCTAACTAAATTCTATTTTCTGTCTCGAGCAAGTTGTTTTCATGTTCTGCCACATATTAAGCTTGTCGACTTCCCTATCGACCGCTACCGCCATGCATTTTAATGGCTGTTGTAACAGATGTAGCAGCATCATGACACACTATCCGATTGTTTCAGGTAAGCAATCAGCTTACTTACTTCCCGATTTCTTCCTATAGTGATAATGTTCGTCCATCATGCTTAGGGGCTCGAGACATCAAGTGAGCAGTGTCTTATAGTATTTACAACTGAAAGTGCGTTGCCAGGATAGGCATTTTACTGTTCAATATGTATTTTGCACTTTTTACCGCTCTGTTTGTACTCAAAAATTGTAGAAAATTCCTTCATTGTTGTCACAATGTCTCGACTAGAACTCAGCAGCGTTCTTGCCCATTCTCTTAAGAAAAACCAAAAAGCTTGTTTGTGTTGGTGCTTCGCAAAAACCTTTCATCCGGCCCCAGACTACAATCATGAAGTCATGAAGGCAATACTTTTCCTCCATGTGAATTCACAGATGTTCAATTCACAGATGTTCACAGATGTTGAAAAGATTCACATTAAACTTTCCTTTTTTTTCTTTTTGAAGGGCGAACTTGTCAGCTAGTTGGTTGAACATATCGTCGGGGAAACAGCGCGATAGACAAAGAAAATGGAGGCATACATGTGGTTGTGTGTGTACATGTGTTCTTGTCTATCAGACTGTTTACCTTGTGATACGGTCACACAAAATATTCAAATTGTGGTTGGAATCTATCATTGCACTCTATACAGTTAACTGTTTTATTTCTAATAAAAAAGCCTCTTCTATTACTTCTTTCTGGAACTGGTGTGCCAAGTATGGGTGCTATGCCTAGTTTTGAATTTTTGTCTGGAGCACAAGCGAGCTGGTGTTTGTGTTGGTGAACACCCTTCGCATAAAGATTTCAACACCGATCAGTTCAATTCCATGTTTTCAGCATTCCCTTCCAGGGATAGTTAAATGGCAGTTTTACTTTTCAGTTATCCACTCACAAATCATGTATTGCATTCTAGTCTGGGTGCAGCAAAACAAATATAGAAAGCATTATTCTCCAAAAATGCACATAAAGTTTAATAACTACTTCAGTCTTCACAAACATGCCTCTTTTTTTTGTGTGTGTGTATAATGCACTGCCAAGTGCTGAAGGATGCAACTAGCCAACAAAATATTAAAGATTTCTTTTTTCTGATACGCACTTAAGCAAAGATGTTGGATATAATCTTCATATGTGCTGGTTGAGCCAATGTGCTAGAATAACTATCAATTGATAACCAAATTGTTCTATTGTGCAACACGACTCCTGAAGCATTTAATATGCCAGGGAGGCTACAAACATTGAACAATTCTAGGGTGCATGTACTGGAAGTATTTAATGTATGTAACATATTTAAGGTATTCAATATTAATTACATCACATTTCAATTTGTATTTATTGCTAAGGAACAGTTTTTTCTGTATCGTATTACATTTCTCTAATGTAGGGCTCTTCATATTTATTGTTTATATGCACATTGTTGAATATTTCTATGTGTTGTCTTGATGTACCTGCCCGAAGTGCCTGACAAAGAGTTGGTCAAGTCAGGATACAAACACTCTCCTTTTGCCCCTTTTGTGGGCATTTTTCGAAAATGCCCAAATATAATAAATGAAAAAGTTACATAAGCTATTAATAATACAGACAAATAAAACTGGGCAGGCCAGACATAATTTCAGATTTAGGCAGATTTAAAAACAGCCATTGTGAAAACCACTTTCACATGTTATCTAGGTCTAACTGAAGAATAAAGTTTCCACGCCAAATAGTTTCATTTTGTGGTATAGGATGCAATCACAGGCAAATAGTTCAAAGAAACTATCAAAACCAAGCCATCAGTACACATTATAAAGAGCAATAGGCCCAAGATAGAGCCTTTGGGAATCCCCGATTTGACATCAAAGTCCAGGAATGCAGCTGTATTAATGGTTACAAATACAGTACAGTTTGAAAAAATTTATCCAGTTCAAGATGTTAAAGTCATCATTTAAGGCACCCTGTAAAGCTATTCCCCCCCTGCATTCTGCAGGGCTGACCATGAAGTAAAATTATAGCAGCTTTGTTCTTGGCATTGCCACTTGCCTAACGATATTGGTGCATTGCCACAATTCCAGAGGAAGCAACAAAAATGACATTTAATATGTGTTGCATAGCCCTTTCAGGATATCGAGTTCAAGAAACAGTAAGCAATGAGACACTTTGTCAAAAGCTTTAGCAAAATGTAAAGGACTACAGTGAATAACTTGGTACATAATTCAATAATTTCTTTTTTACAGTGCTAGGGAACGATGACCACAAAGAAAGACACACACAGCCCTTGCCCTTTCTCTAACAAGGAAGAGTTTGATTCAAAAAATAAAACGAGATTAGAAAATGTGACATGCTCAAAGGTTTTTTGTAAGGCATGGTGGTAAGTGAAACGGGTCTGTGTTTGATAAGACAATGCCTGTTACTCAATTTCAACATAGGGGCCTTTCTCCCACCTTTTAGTATGTAGGCCAAGTCCAGCATAAGACAGACTCCAAGTAAAAAGGTATATAAAATTTACAAAAGGTACCCCGCAATAGTATTTCTCAAAAATTCAGAATTAATTTTGCCAGTGCCACAGCTAGAAAATAGTTATAAGCTATGACTTAACTAAAAACTACCCCAATATTGACAACAAGCAGTCCCAAGAGAAAAAAAGCTTTGATACATGCACTGGACTGTGCGTACAGCTATCAGAAAAAAAATTCACAAAGCTGTCATATAGAACAATGCAACATTCTGGATTGCTCTTTGTGCTACCATTAGTATCTTTAAGAGATATAGTATTTTTCTTTTACATATAGACCAACGCTTCAAAATTTCAATGATTAGCAGAGAGAAACGAAAGTAGAATATTTATACATTTAAACATACTGCAGCTTTCAAGGGCTACCACAAGAGTGAAGATAGCAAATGCAAAACAATGTACTGATCATGAAGATCACATTTATAACATACAAAATGAATTCCGCAGGTGGTAAAGATCTAGAATGGGCAGGTAAAGCATTCTATATTTCAATAAGAAGGACAATAACTATTCATATACATTACTTTGGTTACGAAAAGAAGGCATATTCAGCTCGTGATGATGCCTGGTGGATATTGAATTAGCAGGTGTGATGTAGTCACTAGTAAAGAGATAAGTGGACAAAGAAGAAGAGTGTGAAGAAACTACAGGGATTTAACGTAAAGATGAGATGACAGAACAGCAAGCTGAAGAATACGAAGATGAAAACTGGGTGAAGAATAGCTGTTAAGACAATATCCCCTTTAAGCGCAAATTGTGATCCACCGTCCCCAAATGTGTCAAATTAGCAGGACAGGATTTTAAGGCACTCAGTAATACATTCCAAGAAAGAAAATGAAGAAATGTCTTGTGTTGAGTGATTTTCAGTAATTAATGTCACTTATGTAATTGAATCTAATATTTAATCAGTCAGCATCAATCTGCATAAAGAGGATGAAATATTATGGCTAAGTACAAATTTTTTTTATTGCATTCGTTTCAAGCAAAGAAAAAAATACTCTTGACATGGTTCTTGGAACCCTGCATGTCAACTGGTTGCCGAACATTGTAGTGTTCTCAGCATAGTGACCCTCTGAAGCATTGCGCAGCATAAAGATGCCAAATGACCAGTATTGGACCTATCTCAAAGCCAGCATGAATGTGCACACCGTACTTCAAGCCATTGGAATAAACACACGGTGCATCACTCACCTCTAAATTTGAGGTGTACAAGCTTTTTTAAAATATTTTAACGTGAGAGACAGTATCAAACACCTTTGAAAAACTAACGAAGATTGTGCAGATTTGTTCACCTGCATCGTAGAGCCTTGGTGATATGAGAAAGAATTCAATAAGCTAGGTTAGGGCACATAGTATGTTGATGCTCAATTGAGTATAATAGTTCATGTTGAGTATCAGATAAAATATTTTAACCTAAAAATTCAGTGTGTTTGTAAAATATCTATTCAAGTATTTTCATGAATAAGATGTAAAGAAGATTGGTCTATAATTTAACAAGCACAGTCCGCGTCAAGTTTTAAATAGTGGTAGCATTTAGTGAATTTCCAGGTTAGATGGACAACTCAGGTCGAAAGGAATTTTCTGAAAACAGCAGCTTGTAATTAATGAGTATCTTTACTCGCAGACACCTTTCTTGGCAATGAAGGAAGGGCTACGGAGCCCAAGTGGGTGCGTGCCACCACTGAAGAATACAGTACCACAATTGCGCCCTAGTTTTCATGTGCGAATCATTAACATTCTCTATGGGATGCTGTTTATAAAGAGACGCAGCACACACCTAGAAGATAATCATATTTGTTTCACTTTGTGCAGTGTCATTTCGCATTTTCACATGTGTAAAAACATCCAACGTAAAACGTGCACCTCACATCCAAATCGGCTCGTCTTTAGGTGAGTGCTCGTCACCCTCCAGCTATTTCGACAACTCACTAAAGAGAGCTTGCAACGAATTTAGCTCACAAATGGCTGTCTAAGCAGACATGGCAGGATGTATTCAGCGTTGCTATTCGAACATGGCGACCACTCGAAGCGCAAGTGGAACCGGACTACTTTGCGGAAAAGTACATGGACAGTAGCTCTGCCGCCATAGCTTTCTTTCATTGTTAAAAAGTTGCCCACAAGCACAGTGGGAAATGCATTATCTATATTGCCCAGACTACCTTTCTTCTTAGTATCTAGTTTAAAATCCGAGTCAATACTCTCTGCATCAAAACTACAATGTCATTAATCGGACTTCGAGATTGCTTTGTGGAACCATGAAATTGTCCTCAGTAAGAGGTGTGAAGTAAGCATTAAATGCATAAAGATAATATAGGGGGTACGCACTTGATGTTACCTGCAAAGATCACTAGTGTCGGGGGGTCGCCATTCTTAAGTACAGCATGCCATCAGTACACGCAAAAATACTCTCTGCACACGCTGTGTCAGATCTGCAAGGCAGCTTGGACCTCCAGAGACCTCTGCAACATGTCCTGCATGCCGAAGCACAGACAGCAGGATGGCGCCTACAAATGGACCTTCAGAATGGCACGGCCATGGTATTGCCCCCTCGTAGATCAAGGCTCAGTACATACCCCCTATAAAAGTACCTCGTGTAGCTGTATGAAAACAGGGAAATTTTAAGGGCTCATTCTTCTTTGCTAAGCACAGCATTAATCAGAAGAGACAAGAAAACCACAGAAAGTATAGAGGATGCTATTTGGAGTAATTATAATGTAATTGTGAAAATAAGTGAACGAAAATCTGAATTGCCATTGGCAGGGATCAAACCTCTGACCTTCAAATAACTCATCGGATGCGAAATTATTGGCCAGCTCCCCGCTCATAAAAAGGCGACGTGCTTCATGACACCAGCAGAGAAAAAGAGTGTTCCACACACACCGTTATGGCTACTAGCGGCGCTCACATACACTCACAGGTTCAAATGCTAATATACCAAGTGTTCCAGATATGTCTATTTCACCAGTACGTCTAGAGTAACAAAACATCACTACAACGTGAACCCTTGACATCACGCAGGATACATATTCATCTTTGGTAACCACCAAGGCGTTTAATATGTCAGCACTATTGTAACCTATCCACATGTCAAATGATTTTCCCGATAATACCGCCTTTAATAGTAGCCCTAAAACGTTCCGACACAAACTTGAGATACATTTTTTTATACAGCAGAAGTTTTTTCTATTCTCCTTTATCATTTAACTTTCAAGCTCTTCTATATCGTGAAGCGTTACGCATTCTTTTGATTAATGTTGTGTAATGTGCTCTTTGTGAACTGTTGAATATCAGACTGAATGCGTTGTTTATTTTTTTACATAGTATTTTGTCATTATTAACATGCAGTGTAGCATTTATCTTTACGAGCTTACTTCCAGTTTTACTGTAACCCACCTTACTGAGAGCCTTCAGGCTTGTAAGGTATTTCTGGATAAACGTGGACCAAAGGATGACCACCACTCTATTGGTAGAGCAATGAACGTGTTATACAAAGTTTACAGATGCAGTTCCTGCCTTTGGCTTTTCATCCACTTTCCTTTCTTAACATACATAAACATCAGTAGTAGAACAATTTCGCCTTTGACGAGATTGGGCATATCATGATGGCTATTGAGCAGATGTATTTTCAAAATAAACCAGTTGTTCAATTGCGCTCGTTCGTTTGTATCTGTTTCTCTTTGTTTGGACTTGTTCATCTTTGTCTCGTGCTAAGTGGCATGGCAAAAAGATGAATTCATACCAACTAGGCAGACTAGCAGTTCTGCTTAAGTAGAATAAGCTGCACACATGCCAAAGCATCAGGTGTGGTAGAAGCCTCCCACTAAATTGATCTCCTTGGTGAGTTACAGCGATGGAAATCCATTATGGCAGAGCTACTTTAAAAAAACTGCGCAAAACTATTTTTTTTTTTGCACTTCCCAGAAGATTTCTTTGCCACAGTGCAATGGTGCAAGGTGGTCAGAATTCATACATTGTACAGGTAATCTGGAAACCTTGGCAGATCGGAAGTTGATTTGTGTTTTGGTCAATTTCTATACTTGCAGAATGCTTATATTGGCCATTTGAGAAAAGTTTAGTTTTCTAAGATATATCAGTTGCTAGTTCAGCAAGGTGTGTAGTTTTATATCAACTATTAAATCAAACAGATTAGCCCGGCAGGCAGCACATTCTTTAAAATTTATAAGAAGCAAATGAATTAGTTAATATTTATCATATATTTACTGACACTAGGTGCACTGTCCAACACTTTAAGAAGCCATTGCAATATGACGGGAGAGTTCAGATATATGTATAGAAGAGATATGTAACAAGTAGAAGCAAAGAGTGACACTGCTGGGAGAATGAAACGGACAAGGAGCTTTCTGTTTTGTTGTGTATTGATCCACAGTGTATAATTATTCTATTTGAAGTTAATCTCAGTATTCATTTGTGCACACAACCCCCCCCCACACACACACAAAAAAAAAGGTACTGCAAAGGAAAAGAAAGACAAAACCTTGCAGGCCCCCTCAAGCTGTAGCCACGTAGTTAAGTGGTCCCACAGGACAAAAGTTCTGGGGAAGATTGACGTGATGAAAACACCAGTTGACAAGGGCCGCAACTGCTTCCCTCATTTCCGTAGCACTTGCCCACCGTCAATGGAGAAGTACCCAAAGAATAAAAATACTGGGGCGGGTCGACAGAACGGGCAGAATTTCAAGCTAAACTGCTACTCTCAAAGTATCGAGAAAAAAAAAAAAACTACAGCAGGGTATCGTTAGTGCCGAGAAAGCGCAGTTATTTAGTTTTACCAGTCCCGAATGGGCTCTTCCCCACGCGGGTTGCGGCGTCGATTCTTATCGAAACGCAACGTCGTTGACAGCCGCGAAGCTGCCGGGCACTCGCTTATGCAATTATTGGCAATCACTGGCAGTCGAATTCTGTCCGGGATTTGCGGCGGAGTATACCGTATGAGAAACAAAAACAAACTTATCTGCCGGCCTGTTGTAGCGTCACTTTAGGAAACGAGTGGCAGAAGCGACTGCCGCCCTCAATATAGTATAACGAAATCAGGCTGCACAATCAGCACGGGTGACCCTTACCGCGACGAATAAAGCGAACCAACCCCTCCCTCATCGCTAGGCTAGCTTCAAGGTAGGTGGGGGAGTTCGTCCGGTAAGGCAAAACGAGTGAGCAAGAATCATCCCGCGTCTTTTTTTTTGCGCATTCGTTACCAGACAGTACGCGCACACAAGTCGACGACGGCTACTCACCGAAGGGAGGGCTCGCCTTCGTCGTCTCCGCTTTCGCCTCCCGAGCTGCTTTCGGTGGCGTCCGAGTCGACGGCCCTCTCCTGGTGAGAAAGCGTGGCGCGGAGGGCGGCCGAGACGCGCTCGCCTTCGGCGCGGTCCTGCGCACTCAGCCGCAGGTCGGCGGCGGCGGCCGAACCGTGCGACTCCTCGAGCTTGCGCACCAGGCTGACGAGCGCGGCCGTCGACAGGCTCTTGACGTCCTCGCTCTGCAGCAGAAACTCGGCCTTGATGTCGGCGCCGTCGCGCGATAGCTTGCGGTGCAGCAAACGCTGCGGCATCAGACAGGGCAGTCCCAGCGAGGTCTGCTGGTGCTCGAAAAAAGCGGCCATCTGCCCCGCCGAGTGCTGGCATGCCTGGCGCAGCTGCAACCTCCGCAGCCGCCGCTCGAGTCGTTCGGCGCGCCGCTCCAGTACCCCTCGTCGCGTGCGCGCCAAATCGAGCAGCTCGGGGCTGCCTCGAGGTGAGGCGACCGGCGGCGGCGAGCTGCCGTTGCCCATGTTCATGGCAGCATGAGCGGCGCGGAACAGCTTGGAGTTGGCGAACGCCGTCACGGTGTCCCAGAGGTTTAGTTTGTACGGCTCCGAGGGCGGCGAGGCGGGGTGGTGACCGCACGGGGGCAGACTGAAGCTCTCCGCTTGGCTAGCCGCTTCCGTCAGGGCGGGGGCCATCGCTGCTATGCAACATATCCTGAACGGCACCGGCGACAACATGCGGGCGGCAGCGGTGAGCCCATGCGAGCGCCTCACACCACCGCCAGCCGCTGCTCTTGCCGACTCACCCGTTCGGTCCCATCTCATGCGACGAGCGATGCACACACAACCCACATCCAGGTGTAGCCAACTTACCCGAAAGGGCAAACAAAGAAAAACGCCAACCACGTGACAGACACGTCCCTTTCAACCGCAGTTAGGTTGCCATCCAGCGCTCGATGCCTACGACGAAGCGCACCACAAAGCACCGCATATCAAACAGCGACACGCTCGGGCCTCGCCGAATGGAACACCACAGTGCCACTAGATCACATCGCCTGGCGGTCTCGCGCGCACCAAACATCAACGCCACCGCGAACTACGAATGGCGGACATTTTCCCCTACCTTACGGACAACAAAAAAATACCGTATGGCGTCATTTGCTTGAACCCCCTCCCAGAAACGCTATCCTCATTGGCGGCGGACACGCTGTTCCCACCACAGTCACTCACCCCCGCGCAGGCGATTGCGCTTCTTCTCACTCGGCGCCCCTCCGCCAACGTTTATAGATACTTTTTCAGTTCCGCAACTCCTCGCGCCGCGCCCAGGGAGAAGGCGGCCGGCCGCCGCACCCGCCACCGCAGCGCTGCAGTCGCGCCTTGCGCTAGGAGAGCGAGAGTCGTCTGCTAGCGCGAAGGGTGTCGCGTGAGCCTTTGCGTGCGCCCGAGTGAGAATTGTGCGAACAGTGTACTTGGTCTTTACTCTCGCTATTTAACAGAGGCCACGCGCTTTAATTCGTGCGCGTTGTATGACTCACGAACTTGAAAAAAAGCCTGTACGTACTTCGCAGGCATCCGTTTTGCGCAGTGACAAAGTGATCGCTTCACCCTGCGCCTTCCTGTGTCCATTGCATCAAGACCACATTAGTAGTTTACAATTCAGCGCGCTAAAAGAAATAGAAATCTTAAACTTATAGCACTCGGGGTTACGTAACATGAGGACTTGGCGACTAGTAAATTTTGTTGGATGAATGAAACACTGCTATTCGTCTTTTTTTTTTTTTGCGGTGGGAAAACGCCTCACGAATAGATCGAAAACTGACGTACACATTTCATTACACGTACACGGCACAGATTTGTCGGCAGGTTTACTGAGAAGTTCGTTAAACTAGCTTTGCCTTCTTGCGCTCTCTCTGTGCCCGAACGGCACTGCTGTTCTCCAAGCATTTGGCTCGTGCGAAGAAGTGCATACGAGTTGTTAAATAAAAGTGAATTGTTTGAGCAGTAAGCTGATTAGCATGCTCGGAACAGCCAACAATATTTGTGCCTCTCTTCACTAGAGCATCCAGCACATCCCAAAATAAGTCACCAAAACATGTGCCTTTGCTAGCATGCTTTATAGTGCGTTCTACCGTGCTCACACACGCAAGCAGTTTTTCTGAAGGGTATGCATTTGTCATTTTCTGAAGGGTATGCATTTGTCATTGTCATTTGGAGCTGGATGCTTTCAAGAGCGAACTTGTTCAAACCGTACTCGCACGGAAGTCCTTTCAGCAGCTGCACGAGACGGCTAGTACTTGGGAGGGGAAGAGCTCTCATACTTGAAAGGGCATTGTAGCCTTTCGGACTTGTTAACCGCAAAAGCAAACAGACCATCAGCCAGTCCGCTGTGTATCTGTGGCCACGAGGCGATTTCGCTGCCTGCTGCATCACTGCTGCCCGAACAGCCATCTTTTGTACTTCAGGCAAATCTTTAATTATATCATCCAGAGTCGCCGTCAATGCGTTCTTGAGCTTCTCACTCAGGTGCTTTACATCTGCTTTCTTTCGCTCTCGTGCGGCAGTGGCACGAATTAGCCGCTTTCTCAGCGCACTTGCTGCCACGGGCACCTTTCTCTTTGATCGTGTGGACGTTGCCTTTCGCTTTAAACTTTTTGTCAAGTTGGCACATGCAGCACACACTTCTTTATCTGCGTCAGTCAGAACGGCGCAATCGTTGTGATGAAGCCTACCTCCAACTTTTTTTGTCACTCTGCTGGAGTTGGTGACATCGATAAGAGGGCAACCACGGCAAAATTGTTTTGCGTGCACAATTTGTACAATCGCTTCCACATCTTGCGCAGAAAATATGTTAATCTCTGCATCCCAGCTGCGCAACAGTCTTCCATTTGCATGGATGACGTACGTGAGGTCCTCGTGAATCGCGACGCTCTTCAGGATCGCGTAAACATCGTCCTTCATTCCCGCCTTGTAAAAGATAACCTGCCGAGGTTTACCAGTGTCCTCCTCAAGGTCCGCCATTCTCCAGTTTTTCGGAAGCTTTAAAGATGAGCCGTTTTCGACAATCTGTGCGAAATCAATGTCGTGCACGGGATCAGGAACTTCTTGCTGGTACTCATCTGATGGCGTAGCAACAAGTACGACTTTGTTGGGTAAGCTGGCCCTATCCTTAGGCGACCGCCGCCTCTTTATTGTTTTTGACAAATAGCTTGGAACATTCGGAAATTGACACGGCACGGCTTCAGGCTGTAATGCCCAACAGCCGCGGTCTATTTCAACAACCTGGCCGTCAATGGCATGCTTGTAAGTCTTCACAATGTCATGTTGCATAAAATGCACGTCACACACTTTGCATGTCTTGCTCAGAAGTTTATCGGCGCGGGGAATAGCTCTCACCCACCTTTCAAGCAGCTGCGGATCGGACGGCGGTGCAAAAAAGTGCCGCTTTTCTGGATTGCTTTTGTACCCGCTGGTGCAGCCGGGCACGAAGCAAGTTGGCATCGTAAAGCTTGGCAGCTCCGAGACGTCCTGTGGCCGGTAGTGCTAGGTTGTCACAATTCACAGATGATCGAAGTCTTCGAGGATAACCACGTGCGCGCACGGTCACAACAACGAGAAAAAAAAAGCGCGATGACAGCCGCGCACGCGGCCAAGCAACTGCGGGGAGGAGCAACACCGGCAACACGTGCGCCCGCGACAGCGCAACTCGCGACTGTGGCGCCATCTCACTGCCCGGGTAAAACCGGCGGCCGCCTGCGGCGGCGGAGTTACGGAACTGAAAAAGTATCTATAAACGTTGCCCTCCGCCACTAAACACACGATTCTCAAATTCTTACAGATTGCTAAAACTCTACTTGACTCTCGAAAAGTGTTACATGGCAGCCAACTTGAAAGATTCGACACCAATCACTGCTTTGTAATGTAGATTCAATTTAAATGCGCCTTTGGCGCTGCACGATGGTGGCGTGGCGGCTGTTCTTGTAATACGTGCGCACTCCCCGCTAAGGTAGATTTTGGTGACACGTCGAAAACTCAATTTCTCGCAAAATCATTGTGAAGAAACTTTACGGTTGAAAAAATAGAAGAGGTGATCAAAAAAGTGTCACAAGCGCGTCACCAAACGTTTTAAGTTTTGTAACACACTCGCTAGGTGGCGACACAAATTTGTAGCTTGGAAGCACGGAGGAAGAAAAGTGCTTGGAGGTGATTCTTGAATGAAAAGAAGATAAAAGTGAGCCCCGTAACTGTCTCTCAGTGGGAGGACACCTCATCAGTAGCTCACGAGAGATTGGGGTAAGGAAGGATTAAAAACGATGGGAATATAAAGGTATAGAGATAGAGAGAGGCGCAGGGACAGCCGCAAAGCTTAATAGAATAACTGTATGAAACTCTACGGTTCAAAGCATAGAGTTTCATACAATAATTATTGTGTGAAACTTTAGGGGTTCAAAGAGTCCAAAAAACGCTCATCACAAGTTTTTGCTGTGCTGTAAAATACTGGCTATTGTAGTGACAGTCTGCCGGCTTCGCCCACAAATATAAGAAAAATTCTGCTTTTATAAAGCTTACAATCTTCGAATCGGCGCGGGTAATCACCCGTAACGCCAGCGGCGCGTTTTTTTTTTTTTTAATATAGAGCTCAAGTATGCATTCTTTCTTCTTCGAGCGTGAAGCGCGGCTCTTGTGGCTCGTGGGGGGCCTTTTACGGTGAACTGCCGTGCCGCTACTGCACAGGACCCACTAAATTCGGGTCCTTAGGACCAGTGGGCTTTCTGCGCGCGGAAATCGAAGGGCGTCTGCTACACGCTGTAGCTTTCACGCAAGGCACTTGAAGTCTATGTAAGTTCAACAACGTGGTGCTGCACGGGGCGTACCCATATTGAGCGGTGTCTTATTAGTGCTGGGGCCGCAGGATAATGAGAAACCTCATCTGTCAATCACGCCATGCGCGCGGCGCAGTTCCGGTCTGTAGAGTTGAGGAATGTTAATGTTGAAAGTGTGCATGCACAGGAAGGTGTAAAATGAGAGTAAACGCAGAAAACAAACTCCAATAGCATCATACGTGCGTGCGAGAATTGAGAGTAATTAAAGAGAAAAAAAAAACATCGCGCACTCATCCAAAATACTTACACGTAACGTGACCGCGAGCTTTTCACTCGTGGTCGACAGTGGTTTAGAGAAGTGGCGGAACGAAAAGGGGGAGGTAGGGGCGATCGCACCCTCCCCACAAAAGTCAAGCCTGTCTCAGCACCCCCCCCCCCCCTCACTTCACTGCTTGTAGTACACCTCCTATGGCTATGTTGACAACGCTCCTGTGGTGCCATATATATATATATATATATATATATATATATATATATATATATATATATATATATATATATATAGTGGGAGTAATAATTCAATGGGCCAGTTAGTCTTCGTGAAGGTATGGGATATATCACAACGGGAGCGTTGTCAACAAGGATAAATATATTTATTTCCCAACAGTTCGGGAGGGGACCTCCCTTCATCAGGGGATGAGTCCCCTGATGAAGGGAGGTCCCCTCCCGAAACTGTTGGGAAATAAATATATTTATCCTTGTTGACAACGCTCCCGTTGTGATATATCCCATACCTATATATATATATATATATATATATATATATATATATATATATATATATATATATATATATATATATATATATATATATATATATATATATATATATATATATATATATATATATATATATATATATATATATATATATATATATATATATATATATATAGTGTGAGCGCTGACTATGTACTTCATCTGTATGGCCAAACCATCAATTGTAGTGATCATCATCGTATGTCACGCGGGCTGGCTCTCTGGCTCGTGCGTCTGGATTAAAAAAAGATAACCTGGTTACTACCGTCCCGGTGGAGGTGTTCATCCTGCTGACGGCGGTGGCAGAAACGGGATACATGACCCCTTGTGCCACAGTAGAAGCAGACGGGGCACGGAGGACGCCGTGTAGAATAGTGGCGTGACCTTGGCACTTGCGTTGTCATCGCAGCCACATGGTCGCATCCGACGTCCGCAGGCACGGTTGGAACTGGTGCAGGGGTCCGTGATGCAACTTCTGCTTACGAAGGCACTGGGAAGCGCACAGGAGCCGGGGCATGTGCAGCGCTTGTCATTGATGCCAGTTCGTCCTCG